AGAGCTGCACAGTTATTTTTATTTTGGTACCAAGAATTGCTTAACCACTGAGTCACATCCCCAGCCCTTTTTATTTTTTGAGACAGGGTCCCACTGAGTTGCTTAGGGCCTCACTAAGTTGCTAAGGATGGCTTTGAACTTGCTGCACAGCATTTTAAGCAGATACTTGCAACAAAATTCACCCCAATAGCTATACACAGTGGCTACGGAAGTATTACAGTAGTATAATACATACTAGTTAATTTTATACTGTAATGGTTTAACAGTGTATTCAATTTGTTTACATTTTCTTTGACACCCTGTATGTTAAGTGCTCAAGTTTTGATAAATTTTCAACTTTTTACAATAGATGTATATGTTTATGGTAGTAAATAATTTTAAAATAAAGTATTATCTACATATATTTTATGCATTCGTGATATGCCTTTTAATTTTTCTATGTTACAGCTTGCATAATTTTTTTCAAATTGTCACAAATCTCCCAAAGATGAATCCATGGCCCACACAGTTCAAAACTATGTCATCCCAGAGTCAACTGATCAATAAGAGCCAGGTTTCTCACTGTTGGGAAAGGAAATATAAAATGAGAGAAGGTCAGAACGTATCCTGTGGTGTTGCACTGAAATTGAAATTGGAGTATCAACAACTCATGGTAGGTATATATGTTATAGAGATATATGCACATATATGGACAAATCTGAACTTATACATAATAAACTCCCTGTTTGCAGGGATATTCCTGAATCAGTGATACCCCAGTAGCCGTGAGCATGCCCAGTGCCCAGATTTTAGTTTTTGGATACTCTCCTTACTGAAAAGAACCAGAGCTCCCTGGAGAAATAGCTAAGTCCATATCTGGGAAAAGTAGATGATGGGCCTAAATATCTTATGTCAAAATACAAAACAAAACAAAACAGAATGATGGAGATGTGGTAAGAAGACACAGAAGCAGTTCCATTTGTGCATGAAAAACGGTATCAGATTATAAGAGTGTATACATGTTTGTATGAAAAACTCTTTCTTATAGCACAATGTTAACTAATAAGTGCAAAAGAAATGTTGGCAAGCTGGGTAAAGGGGCACATGCCTATAATTCCAGCGGATCAGGAGGGTGAGACAAATTCAGAATTTAAGTTCAACACTAGCCTCAGCAATTTAGCAAGACTCTCTTAAAAACAACAACAACAAAACGTCTGGAGATGTGGCTCAGTGGCTGAATTCCACGGGGTTCAATCCCTGGTACCAAAAAGAAAAAAAAGTGTTGGCAGCATCTGAGTAATAACTGGTCAAGCAAGAAGTATCAATAGATGGGAAACTCGTGGATACATTATATATGTGTGTATTTTTAGTTGTAGATGGACACCATACTTTTTATTTTTAATGTGGTGCTGAGGATCAAACCCAGCGCCTCACACAGGGTAGGTAAGTGATCTACCACTCAGCCATAACCCCAGCCCTAGTAGACACATTTTGATGAAGAGATAGACATTCACATAGTCTCAGTGTTTACCACAAAGAGAAAGATTGTTACTTTACAAAAGTACTATCACCAACCCCATGTACCTCCTATGATGCATTCACTTGTGGTATTCCTCCAGAATCAACTTGAGAGGAAGTACCAAACAAATCCGTTTTGAGGGTGTTCTAACAAATAATTGTCCTGTACTCTTCACAAATATCAAGGTATGAAAAATAAAGAGACTGAGATACTGCTCCAGATTAAAAGTAAAGACTCTTGGGCTGGGGATGTGGCTCAAGCGGTAGCGCGCTCGCCTGGCGTGCGTGCGGCCCGGGTTCCATCCTCAGCACCACATACCAACAAAGATGTTGTGTCCGCCGAGAACTAAAAAAATAAATAAATGTTAAAAATTCTCTCAAAAAAAAAAAAAAAAAAAGTAAAGACTCTCAAGAAAAATGACAGTTCAGTATGAAAAGCGATTGTAAACTTTTCCTTATCCGACACTAGTGGAACAACTGGTGAAATCTGAATGCAGCCTGGCATTAACAGCATTGCGTCACTAATTCCCTCGTTTTGATAACTGTATTGTGGTTATATAACAGAATGGCCTTATTTTGAGGAAATATACCCCTGAGTGTAGGGATAAGAAACAGAAGGTATAAAACTTTAGAACTAGTTCATTTAAAACATCGGAGGTTGCTATGGTGCTGCACACCTGTAAACCCAGCAGTCGAGTGCTCATGGAGCCTGGGATGAGCAGTGAGTGCTCAAGTCCCCTCTCCCAGCCTCAGGACCAGCTAGAAATGGAACTTCAGCAGTCATCTTGAGTTTTATTCCTTCTTACATGTACACATGTCCAGCTATATATATATGAACCAACCAATTTTCTCTTCTCCTTTCCTCTTTTATATATTACACAATCCAGTCTCTGGGATACCAAATGCCCAAGCGGGGCTGAAAGTGAACTAGAAGTGGGCATCGCCTAGACAGGGGTGTAGTGATTGGTGTGCATGACCAGCAGGCACGGCTTTAGTTCCCCAGTAATTCATCTTTTAGTAACTGCCTTCTCCCACTTTGCTCCCAACCCATTCAACACCAGTTTTTCTTTTTAAACATTTCTTTTGATTACCTAGGATGGTGTGTTCCATGTTGGGACCTTGACCTGCTTCAGGCCCCATTTGATGTGACTATTGTCAGAAAATCCAGGTGGGGGTCTCTAACCCCGCACAAGCCCACAATGCTTGCATTTCAACACGTCTCCTGCAGTGAAACTGCAAAGGGTTGACTACTAGCCACAAACTATCAAGAAAACATGTGTTGGCAGCCCCCAGACTCACTTACTAGCAAGTTGGAGCTGACGGGAACCTCCCAGACCAGACAGGTCAGGGTGTGTGATCCACCTCAGGCTATAGAATCACTTGGGTGTTGATAGGTAATTTCCAGAGTGGTGCTCAACTCTGGGAGACAGAGTTCAGGGATTGACTTCTGTTTTAATTTCCTCAAATGCCCTGGGTCAACCCCTTCATTCCACAGTCAAGGAAACCAGTAGCCAGAACAGTACATATGGAGGACTGTTGTGCAGTCTTGTGGGATTCATGCCACAGTGCCTCCATAAGAATAACACTTCTTCATGCTAAGTAGAAGCCATCCAAGGAGGTAGTAACATGCTCAACTACACCCATGTATGGGCAAAATGGCCTACAAGTGGTGTTCATCAAGCATTTAGGTGCTGAGAACTGTACTATATTATACTCATAAGTTACTGATCACAATTCCCTGATAGTTCTCATTTCAGAGACACGGAAACAAATACTGAAAGAAAGCTGCCCGAAAAGTAGGTGATGGGACCAACATTCAAATCTGACCTTGGATTGCAAGGCCCCCATTCCCAAACCACTCCCAGGTTAACGCTACAGAGTACTTATCCACCAAATTCCAGATTCTATGTAGAAGTGGAAACTACACAGCCCAGCTATTACCTGGAATATGCTCTGACTCCCTGGCTCTGCACAAAACAGAAACCAGAGCTGATTCTGAATCCTTCCGCCAGAAAGGCTAAAGTCCTCGGTCCACAGACTGACTTGGGGTAGCACCTGGATTCTTTTCCTTGATCAACATACATAAACTCACTACTCCATGTTTCCCGTTTTAAAATAGAGAATGGAAGAGATGACTGTGGTAGAGACTGCCAACTACCAACACATCTATTCTCCAATTCTTAGTGACAGAATCCTATGGTGTTTCGGACAGCTAAGCACTCAATCAAACTCCCCAATTTCCAGTCTTTTTTGCAACTAATTATAGTTATGTATTTACATTCTGACTGGTTTAAGACTTCCAACATTGAGAAGAGCTCCCAAACAAGCTCCTTTAAAGATGCTAAGCAGACAAAAGCAATGCTAAGCATCAAAAAAGCAATCTCCTTTTCCTGCCTGGAATACAGTCATGAATGTTGGTACTCTAGCAGTCACCTTACACCATGAGTGACTTTATAGGATGGTGAAACAGAAAGAACTCAGGTCCCTGAACCATCATATGAGCCTTGGACCAATGACCTCTGATTCCACTTGAGAAATAAACCAACTCAAGTCACTGCAACCTGAGATCTTCTGTTAAACACAACCAAGCCAATATTGGCCCACTGAACATTTTCAGGACCACTTATGGTGCTCATATAGAGCATAAAGCATCTGCTGACCAGGGACCACTCCTGCATTGGGAGGAAAAACAAAGGAAAAAAAATGGAAATTTTTAAGAAACCTGTCTCGGGATGGGGTTGTGGATCAGCGGTAGAAACGCTCGCCTAGCACATGCGAGGCCCTGGGTTCGATCCTCAGCACCACATAAAAATAAAGAAAATAAAGGTACTGGGTTCCAACTACAACTAAAAAGTTAATATTTAAAAAAAAAAAAAAAACAAAAAAAATCATGTCTCTGCTTCCTAAGTTCAGCTGCATTGAGTCAAGTGTCAAAGCCATTATTAATTCTGTTCCCATGCCGTCACCACTTTATAGCAATGGTGAGGGAGGAGACTACGACAGCTTACTGGCCAGAGCAGTACTGAGGAGCTCCCCTCTTCCTTCCCAGCACCCATGCACTGTTTTTCCCACTGGGTGAAGCATAGCTATGGTTGATACTTCAGTTGTAAAACACTCCCACTTCTGGCTGAAATTTTCCTCTTGGAGGCTTTGGGCTCCCAGTCCAGAACTAGCAAAAGCAGAAGCCGTATACGGCCATCATTCTCAGGGAATCTAACATCTGTAAAATGAGCATTGCATATCTGGCTACTCCAGGGATCCCAGATACCCTAAGATCCCAGCAAGCACCACAGCTTCCTCTCCAGGAACAGCCAAAACTCAAGCAGGACCAAAGGCATCTTCAGAGATGGGCCTTGTTGTCAGTCTAATTACCCAAGTGGGATGTGCTCTGTTGTACCTGGTTTAACTTGCAGGTCAGCCACTCTTCTGCCAAAGATCTCTCTCACACCCTGGAAGTACCATGTAGAAATGTTTTTTTCCAAAGATCACTTCTGTTTCATTGATCACATTATTATCTTTATTAAAATGCAGACAGAGGCATTTTCTATAAAGTGGCCAATTCTGTCACCAGGCCAATTTTAAAACAGGGTGTATTATACATCCTATATATAAAATAGAGCATGTATGTGCATATATATACATACACGTAAATAAAATGGATGCCCTAAAGATTATTTAAATTGAGACCAGAATTATCAGATTCATCCTGAAATAAACAAAACCAAACCACTTTGACTTAAATCAATGAAATAAAGTGCTTGATGCAGATGGCTGAGCTCATTTTACTCAATCACCTTCCCTGAAGGGCTGCAATAATCTCTCCCACCCCCACCACTTCCATCAAGGATGATATAAGAGTGCTGTGCTCCACCCTCCCACCCTGAGAATCTGAATACAGCATCACAGCAGCAACTATGTTGCTCTAAAGCATAGGTTAGAAAAAGGTATTGTACTACTGCTTCCACCTGGTTCTTTGGGGGATGTCCACAAGTTGGTGCCACCTAAAGAAGACGGATAGACTTCCAGACCCACAGGTGGGCTGCCTTGGAGAGCCCACCTCATTAATCAAGCCTTTTTTATAAAAAAAAGTCCCAGCTGACATCTGACCACAACCACAGGAGACCCTGCAAGGAACCACCCAGACAAGTCTTTCCCTAATTCCTCACCACAAAATCACCAACAAAATGAGGTTGTTGTCAGCCAATTTGGAGGCCATTTGCTATGCAGCAATGGTGATTAGAACACCAACTATCTTTGAGGTAAGTCTCTGTAATCAAACGGGGCATTTTTTAAATCTCAAAGAGTTTAAAAAACGATAGTGTACAAACAAACGCAGCTGGTCCTCAGTATCTGCAGGTTCTGTACCCTTGGAGCCAGCCACCCTTGACTGGAAATGTAGGGACTGTCTCTGTACTGAGTACGTGCACACCTTTCTCAGATCATTAGTTTCTAAACTGCATATGGTGTAACAACTTACAGTGCATTTACTCTGTGTTAGGCCTTACCAGCAATCTAGAGAGAATACAAAGTAACCATGAGGATGTACATACTTTAGGAAGGCAAGGTTCTGTCTGTAGAGTCCTGGAACCCATCAATCCCCTGAGGATACCAAGGGACAATTTTACTTTAAAACTTGGGAAGGGACTAGGGGTGTAGTGCAGTGGCAGAGTGCATGCCTAACTCACACTAGGTCCAGGGTTCCATCCCCAGAATACCTCCCTCTCCTAGCAAAAACAATAACAAACAACAACAACAAAAGCTGAAGAGTGAAGGGAAAACCCCTGAAGAGTGGTGGCTGCAAGCAAAGGAGAATATGAAGGGTAGAGCTGAGACAGAAACATGCTTGAGAAGATTGGTTTCTTTCCACTGAGTAGGAAAGTCTTCAGACAGAAGCAAATCTCCTGATTAGGCAAATGGAATGTTCTATGACTAAAATTGACTTTTGTTCTGCTCATCTGCCCACTCCACTTCCAATTTTTTAAAAGCTTATTTTTATTTTCCCCAAATAAGTAGCAGAGTCTGCTTTAGAAAATGTGGCCGACTCTGAGGCACATTCAGAGGGTGTGTGTCTGTGGTTTCAGGGTGGAGCAGATCCGCAGGGAGGCAGAAAGGGAGAGTCAGAGGAGGAAAGCCACTGATCAAACTCTCCCATGTTTACCTTGACCTCTACCTTCTCCAATACAGACCCGGCCGTGCCCCATAGCCTGGCAGGGAGAACCACCTCCAAGTCTTGGGAGGTCACCATGGCCTGGAGCTGTTCCATGCTGCCAAGGGGAATGATCTAGTGCAAAACTCAGCCTCCACAAGGAGGGGCACGAGAGGTGCACTCAGAGAGAACCAACCATGTTTTATTTAAGTTCTTTTTTATTTTCCTCCACACTGGCAAAAGTTCCGAGGGAGCTTAAAGTTTTGTAAACATTTTAACTATCCCTCTTCCCCACCCCCCACTTTTGAATTTACAAAGCAAAGGAGTAGGAGTTCCAATTTTAACAGATCCCCATCTCCTCATGCTATTTGATCCAAAAACTATATACAAGTTTGTAGCAGTCTCTGTATAGTTATTGTACATGTTTAGGAGGGAGGGAGGCAAGAGAGGATAGGGAGAATGGTAATCCAAAATAATAAAAATAGAAACCAAATATAATCCTCCAAAACCAAACTGCTCTCAGAGCAACTCCAGCTTTCTCCAGGCGCAGATGACAGAAAGGAAAGGTGCTCCACCTGGCAGCCGCCCCACCACAGCACCTCTCACACAGGCACAGCCGGCACATGGCTCCCTCCAAGGTGTGACTGGCCATTCTGGGTGATGTTCTGTGGGGTGTGGTGGCAGCAGGAAGAGGGCTTGTTTATAAACAGCGCTGAGTACAGTTCTACTTGAAGTGACAGGGTGCGAGGAGGCCAGCACCAGAAGCCAGAGCAGGCTTCTCCACCCCATTCTCGCCCACCCCTCCATCCCACTGCTTCCTCCTGTGTAGTGGTTTCCATGGATGAAGGTCTTACAGATGGTCAGGTTTTGTATGTTCTCTTTGCAGAAAAGGCAAGCAACTTGCCATCCCAGAATCTTTAAACAAAACCTGTTCAGGGCCACAGCAAGACACACACGCAATGCTCTGAGGAACCAGATGAAATTCCGGGCTTTTATCGGAAGCAAAAGTTTATCCCTACCCAAAATGAAATTATACAAATTCATACATATGGTATAGATCCTAGCTGCCTCTTAAACGAGACAAATTTTCAGCAGAAGGGCCCAAAACAAACTGGTCCTAGTCCTCTGAAGTAAAAATATTTATGGGGGGAAAAAAAAATCAGTTTTTTTGTTTTTTGTTTTTTGTTTTTTTTTAAGAAAGAAAAATTAAGAATAAGTCCCTCTCCCAGGCCACAGGGTTTCCTTTGTCCAATCAGGGTGGAGTATGCCAGGGGAGAAGTCAGCTTGCTCAGAAGTCACTATCTAATGAAGAAAAACATGAATCCTTTCTCTGAAAGGATGTTCAGAAAGAACAGGCAAGGGGTGTGCAACATCAAACCAATCAACCCAAACTCCACCCACTCGGGGCCTCTGTGATGCAATCCGAAGTTAGCAGTGGCAATGCAACCTCCAGACTGGGAGAGCTCTGGCTGTCTCTGCAGACACTCGAGTCACAGTTCATGGGGTGTTTTGTTGCTGGCCAATGTCTGTTAACCATTAACTCTCTTCATGATTGCACCAGTTAGACCTTTTGCCCTTATGGGGGGAAAGAAGAAAAAACAAAACAGAAGGGAAAAAGTGACAAGAGAAGTAAGCTGCCCTTGGCAGATCCCAACATACTATACTCTCTGGGAGGCAGTAGATGAAATCACGGCACAGTGAAAATGTGCTGCCAAGATCAGCCTTGCTGGGGAGCAATCCCACCTGTCAACCCCGACACAGGGTCTGGTCCACTTGTGTACAGTCTGAGATGCTCACCAACAAAAACGGTTTAAGGAATCTTGGACACAAGGGGCTAGAAGAAAAAGCCTGAGATGATCGGTTCTGTGATTTGTTGCAGAGTGATATAGAGTAAATGATGAGTACGTGTTGTGTCCAAAAGTGGAGAATCCATGGTCGGCAGAGAGGAGAGGGAAGTGAGTGCCTGGCAGGTGCTCAGTAGTCATCCAGAGTCTCAATTTCACCCATGTTGAGTCGTTCTGATGATGCATTGACTGAAAATCCTGAGGAAAAAATATTGGCTATGAGTGACCACACCTAGACAATCAAGTGGCTCAAACTCTACGCAATGGGCTGGAATATAAGTTTGTTTCTGAACATACTACCCACATGGGTAGTAAAGGGAAACATAAGTAGACTTACAAAGGAAAGTATTTCAGTTAACCACATCTGATAAACCTAAATGAAATCTGACTTAGGAAAAAAGCAGCACTCATATGCACGCAGGCTATAAGCAGTGCTCATCAACACCACTGACTTGAAAATCTAACGCCAGAAGTTGCATGTAATTTTTACAAAATCTACAGCCAAAGGTTGATAAAGATGATCATGAACAGGGCTTCTTTGGAGTTAGCAAGTCCTAGCAAGCTTTCCAGTCCTCTGCCCTGCATAAATCCCATAAATGTCTCAGTTGCTGTTTGAAAACCAAAAGCAAACAGGCGATGCCCTCCATTCCAAAAGAAAAATCTGCCCCAGAATCAAAGTAACAGCTCATTTCATAAACTGTTTGGTCTATGTTCTGTTTGGCAGGTGTGTGCTGGTATGAGGTAGGTTTTCATGTCCTTTTTTTTGTTCTTCAATGTTCACACATTTGAAATGTTCCAATAACAAACAAAAATACTTTACATAATAAAACAGCTTAGTTAACTGACTAAATTATCATTTGAAAATATAAGCTTGCCTGCCTACTAATCAAGGAAGCTAGGTCCCAAGCTGCTGACAAGGCTTGACACAGGGAGAGGCTAGAACTCCAAACCTACCCTGAGAGTCCCCATCTACTGTGGTACTGTGTGTGACCTGCAAGATCTTCTTTCCCTTGAAAGTAGTCAAAGGTCAGTGTTCACATTTTTACAAGAATGTAAAGACCAAACAATGTTCAACATGAGCTGTTATTCTATGATTTTGAGGCAGGCTCTTCTTCAATTTCACATTTATCTCAAGAATACATGAAATGTGATAGAAGACAATAATACGTTACATCAATACAGGAGAAATGTAATTATAAAAAATAAACAAAATTTATTTTAATTACACAGACAGGAAGGGAAAAGTCTATTGCAAAATATAAAAAGCTGATTATCTGATGCTATGTGTTGATTACTAAGCTAGGATTAGCAGACATGATCTTGTTTAATTGTCAAAAACCAAAACAATAAAAAATACAACTGGTAAGGTGTGCTCACCCTCCACATGACAGAAGGAAAAGCTCGGGGAACACCAGAGGCAAGGCAACACAAATGAGGCTTACCTCAACAGACCTGGCTCTAAACACTACATCCTTGTTAGGTTCAGCTCAGACTCACTCACATGATTTCTTTAAGGCTTGTGAGGCTATTCTCATAGGAAAGCCCGATGTGTGTATTAAAATCCAAGTGCAGGCTGCTGAGAACTCTAAGAACTAGTGTGTGGCTGGAGTACAACAGAGGACACAGAGGATTAAAACAAGGTGGGGCTCCCTCTGCTGGCTGCTCCTTCAATGGGTACTTACAGATCAAATTAGAACACTTCTCCCCATTTTGTGTGTGAGAAAGTTGTGAAGAGTAGTTACTACGTTTTCTCAAAAAGTAAATCTATAAGGAATATATAAATTAAAAAGTAGCAAATGGAAATGAGAGGTATGGGGCAGAGATTAGCAATTATCAGAGAAATTTCCAAAAGGAGCTTAGCTGAACAGTGAATTTTATGGAATTGTCTATGTGAAAGGTCATCCAAGTGAGTTTTCTCAAAACTGTTCAACTTGGGCTTGCCTTGCATGTGTGGGACACTGGGTTTGATCCTCAGAACCACATAAATAAAATAAAGGTATTGTGTCCATCTTCAACTAAAAAAGAATTAAACAAAAAACTGTTCAAATCTTATTTATCATTTGTCTGCTTTTCTTTCCCTTTGAGATTTACAAAGTTCTTAAACTTCACTCTAGGGGACCTATCCATCTCCCACTCACTTGTAGGTGAATCTTCACCTCTTCCTTTCCCAAATCTGCAGCACAGGATGGAATACAATGGAATACTTAATCCAAAGAGCCAGACCTCACTTGCAGAGGAACCTTTTGATTTCTGACAGCTTCTATCAAGTCCCAAAACTAAATTGCAAGGTCCTTAGAACTCACAGTTAGAAACCTGTCCAAACTAAATCAAATATTGCAACATCTTTACCATTAACTTTCAAGAAAGGTATGACAGGCAGAAGAAAACAGAGTTTCACCAGATCTCAATGTTCTCAAACCCAGCTTTGAGTCACTAATCCCAAAAGGCAATCCATAAATCAGGAGTCTGTCACTGGCATGTTTTTTCCCTCAAGGTAGGCATCCTCTAGAGGCAAGTGAGGATCTTTCCCAGGGCAGAGGAAGATCACACCTGCCTCTTTGCCAGATACAGGCATTTCCCACTAAGCCACTAATACTTCACCCTTCTCATGTGTCTGCTCAGTTCCCAGTGCTCAACACATTTCAACAACTGGCAACACCACCCATCTTGCTCCCAAAGCCAGAGTACTTGCCCACTCTCTCTGTCCAACTGATTCAATGCTCTTAATTTCTGAAATCCAACTAACTCTTCCCATCTCCACTACCAAGACCCTACTCCAGGTCATCATTATCTTTAACAATCTATGCTGCAGCCTGTTAACTAGTTGGTCTTCGGACCGGGCCAACATTGCAGACTGCCATCTCTGCCAACAGACTCGCTCCATCACAGACAACATGGTTTTCTAACAGCCTATTTTACACTGACAAATAAATAATGAAAAGAAAATAATTTTAATTTCATAGTTGTTTGGCTAATTTACAAAACATAGGCAGCTTAGAATGCCTGCTTTTCCTGAAACATCATTCTCATCTTTCCTGCTGGTCTTCCAAAGTCCCAATTCAGAAGTCATCTTTTTCAGGAAGTTGCCTCAAATGAGGACAGCCACACCAGTCCTTAATGTTGGACAAGAATAGCTGCATGTAACAAAGAAAAGCAGAAAGCAAACAGGCCTGCACTGCAACCACAGCACCACCACTGAGAGCTGTGACACTGGGAAACGTCCTAAATTTTCTGGGCCTTGGTCTGCCCAGTAGAACTGAGATATCATCTTACAATGAAGAATCATTCTGAGAGTTTTAAGATACAGGTAAGAAATATTTGTTCTTTGAACACCTGATCAGACTTATGGTCTGCTTCCAACAAAATAAATATAAATCAGAATTAAAGTTTCTAATTATTTTTGCTGTTTTCCATTATTATTTTCCAACTAACCTGAAAGGCCCTCCAGTGAAATCCTTATACCAAACATGAAACAAGGCTTTGAAGTTAAAAGTACCATTTAATTTTCTTACTCCAACAGCACATGTGTCACAGCTCCTTATACTAAATACTGGCTACCTATTTTGAATTAGTTAAAAATTAATCTTGCTGGGCACAGTGGCACACGCCTATAATCCCAGTGACTTTGGAGGCTCCAGCAGGAGATCACAAGTTCAAGGCCAGCCTCAGCAACCTAGACTATCTCTAAATAATATAAAATAAGAGCTGGGGTTATAGCTCAGTGGTTCAGCACTCCTGAGTTTAATCCCCAGTACCCCCACCAAATGTATGTGTGTGTGTGTGTGTGTGTGTGTGTGTGTGTGTAATATAATATATATAAAAATAAAAATCTTTACCAAAAAACAACACAAAGACTCCCACTTGATCACTGTTATCATCTAGAGTCCTCACAGCTCAGCTAAGACTCTGGGCCTGTGCTCACCTAATAAACTGGGATCTGCTCGGACCATCTTCTGTTTTTTCTTCTTCTTGCCACTTTGCACAGCCTCAAAATTGGATTGTTGATTGTTGCTTTGATTGGTCTGAAATACTGAATGGAGTGTACTGTGGTTCATTCCCCACACAGAGTCCTGTGAAATGAGACAGCATAACTGAAATTACACAGTAGATGTAGAAGTGGCTGCGCTAACAGAAAGCTGGTATGCCTTTACCTTATCAAGTGTGAGTTTCAAAACAAAAGGCATATCAAGGTTCTGGCACTACTGAGACTAAGAGCAGGCCACTGAGCCAACAGTTCCCTCATTTGCATTCTGATACTCCAACAAAGTGTTTCCTGCAAATACCAGGTCTTCCCCCTACTGTGCTAGCATGGCTGTCACAAGTTCTCTAGCATACATGGTCTGTACCATCCATAGGAAATCAAATACACAACAAATAATCATTAACAGGAATGTACTGTGGCAACGTATACCCTTCACCTACCCAAAGCAGATTTTTCCAGGTCAGAGGACAGGCCAAAAACCAAATGGCAGCACATTACCAAAAAAGGTTAAAAGTCTTGTACATCAATCCTATCAGCAATCCTTGGAGGGATCTGGCTCCATATACTTCCTATCAACTGGTTAGACTGATAATCTATTAGCCCTTTGCACTTGCTGGGCTTCCACATTCTGGTCTAAACCCTGGTAGTCACTTTACAGACCCAGGTATCTTCTGCACTGCATCCTGATGCCTTCTTTCCAGAAGCTATAAAATACCTTTTCTAGGGTTGGTCCAGGACTGACAACTTACACTTCTTCATTCACCCACTATCTACCTATGCAGCTTGAACTCTAAATGCCTTGCCTATCACTGTATCTTCCACACTTCCAGATGTGACCTATAACAAATATCTATCATCTTTAATAAAACAACTATGGGATTTAAGGATATTAATATTTTTAAGCCTCTCTGTGAGCCTTACAAACTTGTCTTTCAGAAAATGTACAATTGATCCTCAAAGATTTCCTATTTATGAATCCACTCGCTTGCTAAAATTTGTTTGTAATTTTAAAATCAATACTTGAAGTATTATGGTTACTTAGGACAAGCACATGTGCAGAGCACATTTGGGACCCTCAATGCAAGCATTCTCAGTTGAAGTGAGACAGGGAAACATCTGCTTTCCTCATTTCCTATAAGTAGGTATCTTTATTTAATACTATGTTATTCACATTTTTTGCACTTTTTGTTAGCAATTTCATTGTTTAAAATGTCCCAAGTATAATGCTTAAGTGGTATTTAGTGTTCCTGGCTATGCTACACCTTCTTGGAAAAACATGTGCTAGATAACCTTTGCTACAGGAATGACTTACAGTGTTACTGGCAGAGTTCAATGTTAACAAGTCAACATATATTAAATAAGGCATCTTTAAAGAGAAACACATATTAAACCAGAGTATATATTGATTAGCTGATGAAAATAATGTGATCAGAGGCTCATAGGAACTTAACCCTGTATATTCTTCAGCATTCATGGAAACTTTATGCAACAAAACTACTGTGAGGAAGGATTCTTTGTGCCATTTACAACCCCATCAACAATATAGGTCATACCTGGCATGTCACAGTGTTGCCAATTCTGGGCCACAGGGCTCACATAAAGTAAAACAAAACAAAACAAAAACACAAATTTATGGGTCTGTGACATGTTGAAATTTGCGGGTTAAGACATATATAAGAATCAAGAAAAAAAATGGGGCTGGGATGCCTACTATAGAATAATGGCTGTATTTGCAAGCAGGGAAATTTGCAAAAGTTTCTAGACATGTAATTTGAAAACACGAAATCTACATACTTTAAAATTACTAGATGTACAAAAACGGAATCTTTGTCTTTATTTTCATTTCTCTGTTTACTCAACATTCAAAGGCTTCAATACTTGATACACTAGATGCTATACCTGTGGTGGCGGCGGTGGTGGCTGCTGCTGCTGTTGCTGCTGCTGCTGCTGCTGCTGCTGTTGCTGCTGCTGCTGTTGCTGACGCTGCTGGTTAACTTTTTGTTTGGCACGGCGCTCAAGGAACTGCTTAGCAAACTCCTTGGCCTCAGAAGTATCTCCTAAGTAGGCCCTGATATAATCATGGACCTCATAGGGAGATTCTACTTCTTTCAGGAAAGAAACAAATGTGGGAACTGCAATATGGGACAGGAGAAGAGAGTAACAATGAAATAATTATATATCACATAGGAAAAAAACAGTTTCAGATTTTAATATATCACCACATCTAAAACAGATGTTAAAGATAGAAACTTTAAAGGTGTGCAGCTATTGGGTTAAATATTCTTTAACCTTTAAATTTGTTTTTTGAAATGAAAAACACACTATCATCACTATTACAAAAATTATATGAAATAGCACAGCCTCAAAGACATGTTGTATGTACTCATTTTCACTAAGTGCTATGGTTGCGACAGTTACTTGTCCAGTACTCAAGTATTTGGGGATTTTTTCAATCAATATTATTAAAAGCTAAGATGTGTGCCAGGCACTACAACAAATACTAAAGATAACCTATATTCTCCTGGAAATTAGATATGTTTAGAGAGAAATCAAATGGAAACTGCAAATAGTATGGTACTGGAGAAAAAGCACAAGTACCAGTGTTAAAGAGGTATGAGTTTAAAACCTGACTCTGAAATCTGCTGGCTGTGTGACCTTGATGAGTTACTTAACCATTCTGAGCCTCTGTTTCCTAATTTATAAAATGGGGATAATACCACCTACCTTGTAGAGGTATCTTTAAAAATTACAACAAAAATTGAAAGACTGAGAAAACATTTTTTATGTAGATAGTGCCTAGCACATGGTAGGTGCTTAATGGATGGTAGCCATTATTATTTAAGACTGTTTTCTCTGTGGACTTCCAGACAATCAGATATTGCCATAATGTTGCAGAGGAATCCTTCAATTTCTTCACTGCTATCTTGGCTTCAGATCAGCTATCAGAGTGGACTAGTTAGTTTAACCTGTTCTATCATTATGGGAATCCCTCCTTCCACACACTCATCCATCTACTTTCAACATTTAGGGTGAGAGGAGGGACTTAAACCTATCTAAGACAGAGTTCTCTAAACAGCTGACTATCAACAAATTTTTCTTCAATGGTGCTGAAAACTTTTCACTTCCATACATAGTTGTACACCACACAAAATAAGTCTCCTTGCTCTATCACCATCCCCACCCCCTCCCCAAAGTTTGGAAGGGAATGATGTCACATCACCTCACTCCTGTTGCCCAGGCTGACCTTGGTCACCACGTGAGTTACCTTCTCTTGGATTGATACAGCTGGCAAATTTCCTCTTGAAATGATTATGACTTCTGTCTTGTACATCAATAAGAGAGCCTCGGATGGCAGCTATTCTTTGATAATCACCCATAACCTATCTGAGCTTAGTATTTCAGGACTCTTTGGATAAGCAATAAATGATAACTATCAAAGAGTTAATATTTTATGGCAGGTAAAAACTGACTTCCTCAGATTTCATCTCCTAAATTCTGGCCCTCTGTTCCAATCTGCCAACCTGTTTGTGGGTCCTGCTCTGTCATTCCACATGCTGGGATTCCCTCCCCAATTCTTACCATCCAAGTTATTTGCCGTATTAAGGGCATGAAGCATCTGTTCACACCACTGGGTAAATCCATCTTGGGCTTTATTTACTCCCTGAAAGAGCTTCAGCAACTTTTCTTCTTCTTCTACTTTCTTATTCTGCCGGTTAGACACACCTACAGATTTACTAAAGCAAAACAATAGGGCGATATTATATTCCCAGAAACTGTTACTATATGATTATACTACAATTATCATAGAATATATTGTCTTGGCAATATGGGATGGCTGTCCAGTAATCCAATTCTTGGCTTCAAAAACTATTTGGATTGGATACCCTCTTAAAATCTAGCCTCAGCTAATGTATCCTAGTTTTTAAATATAAAGGCTTCTATTTACAGAAAATGATAAAATTCTTCCTGTGTGTCCTTAAGTAAGTTATTTAATTTTACTAAGCCTCAGTTTCCTCATCTGTAAAATGGTGCTATAGCACAGTGCCTGGCAAAGATGCTCAGTAAACTAACATATACTTATTGTCCTTTCAATAATACAGTAGGCCCTCAGTCAAAAACAATCTGACAACACTACCATTATTAAGTAGTTACTATGTGCCAGGCACTTTACTGACTACTTTGCATGTATTCATTAGATCTTTACAACTATACACATGAAGTTGTTTTTATTATCTTCATTTTACCGATGAGGGAACTGAGGCCCAAAGAGGTTCCCTCTTGCCCAAGGTCACACAGCTAATAAGTGCTAGTGCTGGGATTTGAGTTCATGTCAACACTAAACAATACTGTCTACCGAGGAAAGAAAGATGAAAAGGAAATGTAACTCATTTCCCTTAAAAATAAACAGGTTTAAGGTCACTGCAGAGGTATCTGTAATACTCATTTACAGTCTCAATAACTTAAATATATAAATTTAGAAAAAAATGCTAAGATGTCAAAAGTGCTAAGAATACCTTGGATAAATGTTCAAAAATGAAAAAATATTATACTATTCCTAATATTTATTAAGTGGTTACCACTGACAGACAATGGATTAAGTGCTTAGCAGTAGAATGAGCTTCAAAAAATAAATGGGCTTTTATGAAGAAGAAAGCAATCACCATAATTATGGCTCATTATAATTACAACTCATATTAAGAATATATATGATATAGTATATGAATTATAATTCATGTGCTCAGAAATAAAAACTTTCAAACTAACTACTTTTCCCTGTCTCCCAAATACCCCATATTTCCACTGCCTTCACCTCCCAAGGTGCATAAATGTCATCATTTTGAGTCCTACCTGAGACTGGCGTTGTTTTTATTTTTATTTGTTGAATTCCTAGGTCCCACCTCTTTCACTGCATCATCCCAGAATCCCATGTTGGAGTTTTTAGTGTCAGCATTACTCCAGATACTACTGACTAGGTCAGATGCCCACTGGTTAGGAGGACCAGTATTTATAGAGCCCCAAACAGAATTCCCAATGCTGGTGTGCAGGTTGGAATGCTATTAAAGAAAGAAAGGAAAAGGATTATGATTAATAATATTTAAAAGGTAGTCCATGAGAGTCAGAAAAGATAAACAGTCCCTGTAAGAACAGCTTAGGAAATGAACCCACTGTGTTATTCCGGGCTCTGTTTGGTTGCTGGTGCTGCTGTTGCTGTTGTTGCTGCTGCTGCTTCTGCATCTGCCTGGCCTCTTCCTGCTGGATCTCCAGAAGAGACTTCGTGGTGCCTGCAGGTTTGCTGACATTCCCCCAACCCGAGAGTTTCTGCTGCTGCTGCTGTTGCTGCTGCTGGAGAGCTTTCATCAATTCCCTCTGCTGGCGCCTTTGCTATTGCATAAGAACAGAAGCTGGCTCAGGATTCCTGCTCTCAGCTAAGTTACAAACACCCAGCACATGAAACAAGATGGTAATATACAGTGGCTAAAGAACACCAACTTGAAGGGGTTAATTCTTTTGCTGCAAATAAAGGCATAAACTGCTAGAGGTACTAAGAGGAGAAGAAAAGGATCAAAAGCAAATTACTTCTTAAAAATTAGGTAGGCATTCTGATTAAGCATAGAAATGAAATACTTCCCAAAGCCACACCAAAATGACAGCATGTATTTGTGCCCTTATGTATATCTATCTCTCTATCTATCTATCTATCTATCTATCTATCTATATCTTTATACATACATGTATTTGCTTTTGCATAAGCTACTAAGGATAGAAACAGAACAGAACAAATTTTAAATGCTAGAAAGTAGATAGCAATAATCAGTGCAACAGACCCAATAAACTGAAACCTAAGTAAAAAGAAGCTCAGAAATGGGCAGATTCATGTATCAAGCTCAGGAACAGGAGGTGCTCAGCATTTTAACCAAAAGACTGGCTTAAGTCCATAAACATAAGCAGAAGGACCCCTAACTGCCTCCCCAGCCTTATACAATTGGGCAACTGTCTCTCTCACACCACAGCAGAAAACTAAAAATTTTTAGTTTTCTGTTTGGAAAAGCCAAACCAGATTGGCAGATAATTCTATATAGAAGCTGACCCATACAAGAGAATATATCTACAGATACCAATAGTAGAGGCACTCCCCAACTCCCCCAGCAGAACAGCCCAGATAGAAACCATTATAGGGAAGTCTACCACAGTGTTGTATACACCAGAAATTCCAATCAATTTTTTAGTATTTAATTTGTTAATATGAATAATAAGCCCAGGATTACTAAACATTTACATAAGCATCTAAGGCAAAAAAAAAAGACCAAAACAAATATACAAAATTTAATGGAAACAAACAAGGGAAAAGAGGAGCTGGCTTTTAAAAAACTACCAGTCATATGCTTGTAAGGCAAATGCCAAAGACCAAACAAAATATACAAAATTCAATGGAAGCAAATAAGACAAGCAAAATAGAAATTGGCTTTTAAAAAGATATCAGTAACATCCTAGAAAGATAAGATGGTACATTCCATAAAACAAAAAGAACCTATAAAAACAAATACTTACAGAAAAAAAAATGGTACTAAAGAAAAATTTAAAATAGATATCAGACATCAAAAGTTCAATAGAAGGAAAGACAAAATTGAGAAAATACAAAGAAAGAGACTGAACATAGGAGAAATTCAAAATCAGGTGAGGATGAGGGGGGCAGATGGACAGTTGCATAGCACTGATGAGGATGAGGGGGGCAGATGGACAGTTGCATAGCACTGAGAGTTTCCAGAGTGGAACAGGTGAGGGGGTCCCAAAGAGGATACCTACATGGGAAAATAATGAAAAAGCCTCATCCTAATGTTTCTCAATGTGATAAATATGAATTGAGTGGCATTTTACGAATTTTGTAGGGTGTAGGAAGAATTAAAGTTCAAAGAAAATTAATGAAATGAAAATACAGATGAAGTAGTTATTAATTTCAGGGAAGCAAAAAAATGAACAGAGAGGAGGAAAAAAGGAAAGAGTAGGGGGAGATGGGCTGGGGGACAGAGGTAGAGGAAGAAAGTGTTTGTTCTATGATTCTTACTCATTCCAACTATTAATTTATTTTTCATTTAGCAGAAACCAAAGTTACCTGCACAAGTTTTAGCCTTTTAGAGAAAGATGATTCCAGAAAAAAAGAGTTCAATCCTCTTTTCTTTTTAAATGAAGGTGGAAGATAATTTTCAAGGTAAAGAAATATTTTAACTCACTGGATAATATCAAGCATACTACATGGTTAACACACATAAACAACTTCTCTCTCTCTCTCCATGACCCTCTACTTCAGTGAATCACACAACCCAAATTAAAAAAAATGATAACTTGTACTCTCCAACAAGCTGATTGCTCTGCCTTAAATCACACCCACATAGAGCATGTTCTTCAGTACTCTGCTACTTCATGTCACCTTCCCAGACCACACTACCTAAAAGCAGATGATCTATCACACCACCCCCAATGCTACCCATGACTCCCTCACTCACCCATTCTCTTTCCAGAGTTATTTTTGTCTCTGGCACCTTTGACCCTCCAGCAGGTTTTATGTTTCCTTTAGATAATTTCTATCATCCACCTCTCCTCAACCAGAGGGTATATTCATGAAAGCAGACAATTTTGTCTCTTTTGAACTCAGTGACATGCTAGACTACGAGAGCGAATACCCAAGAAGTAAGTGTTGAGTGAATCACTGAATGAGGCACCCGACAGCGAGGCCTCCTGAATTGCTCATGTTGCCCTCTCTGTCAAGAACTGTTACTCTTTGGTATCCTTCATATCCTAATGAACTTCAGGATACCGAATTAAAAGCAGAAATACAGGGGCTGGGGATGTGGCTCAAGCGGTAGCGCGCTCGCCTGGCATGCGTGCGGCCCGGGTTCGATCCTCAGCACCACATACCAACAAAGATGTTGTGTCCGCCGAGAACTAAAAAATAAATATTAAAAAAATTCTCTCTCTCTCTCTCTCCTCTCTCACTCTCTCTAAAAAAAAAAAATAAATAAAAAAATAAAAGCAGAAATACATTATTTTCAACTTAAGTTTTTCTATGCTAGTTGGAGAGTTCAACCCTTAAGAGAAATTTTTTTGCATTCTAAACATCAAATTTACAAAAGGATATTTACAAAAACTCACCCATGATTCTGAACAACCCATACTTTTATTTGAGCTATAGAAAAATACTTACAAAAACTATACTACCTGATCATAGTGTTTTTAGATCCTTAATATCTGCCAAGGTGACATTATAGGCTGAAGTGTTAATAATGAATATACAATTAGACATATAGCAATTCTGACAGTAACCACTGTCTTCAGAAACTACTAACCCATAATACACTCTAGATCCTCTGGGAATATCACTTAGCCAGACTACTCTTATATTAAAAAAAATTTACCTCTTCTCGGGCTGGGTTGTGGCTCAGCGGTAGAGGGTTCGCCTAGCACGTGTGAGGCGCTAGGTTCGACGATCCTCAGCACCACAAAACATTTATAAAATAAAGCATTGTGTCCAACTACAACTGAAAAAAAAAAAATCTTAAAAAAAATTTTACCTCTTCTCGAAGTTGCCGTTCTCGTTCTTCTTCAAGTTTTTGGATTTCAGCCAATGACAGTGTGGCCTGGGACTGACAAGCTGTTGTATTAGACTGCTGGCCCCACGTTGAAGAAGAGGGGAGCTAACAAATAAAGGAAGGCAGGAGAGTTTGTGAAGAAATGTGGACAGGAAAAATAAGAAGCAGCAATGCATTATGTACAGCTGGAATATCCAGGATTCCCTCAACTCCACTCACAACATTAATTTCAAAATTCCTTATTCATTTCTTTCTCATACTATTCTTTCAGTTCGCTTCTTTTGCTTCAGTTTTGACATTTCCCCAAACTAAGTTTATTTTAACTAAAAACACACATATACACTTACAGTTGTTCTGTCATTTTGGGTGGCAATTTTTTTTTTTACATCTGGCACTGACATATACAGCAATATGTAGTCACAAAGAGAAAGGAGTTATCAAAGAATAACTAAATTGGCTTAAGAATTTTTAATCCAAGAAGTTAATGAAGAACATGGTGTGCTACCGTCCAGTGAACAGGTTAGGAACAAGATTTCTGAAGGGGATCTGAGGAGACAGCTAATGAAAGATGCAGGTATAGGTCTCCCTTTTTTTCGAGCCCCATCTCCAACCCTATTCTGAATTTTATTTAGAGTCAGAGTCTGAATTGCTTAGTGCTTTACTTTTGCTGAGGTTGGCTTTGAATTCTCAATCCTTCTGCCTCAGCCTCCTGAGCTGCTAGGATTATAGGCATGCACCACTGCACCCGGCTAGTTCTCACTCTTTTATGAATGAAAAAGTCACTGCTACCCAGGCTGTAAATCTGGTCATGAATACTGAACTGTTTTTGATCAATAATTCTACTTTTCTCTATTCTTTAAAGTTCCTGACTAGAATGTAATTTAAGCACATGAGTTCTGAAATCCTGAGTTCTCAAATCCTGGTTATTCTAAGAGAATCCCTTGTTCCTCTTGGCCAGAAAATGATACACCTTAATTTGGGGCATCTTATGGGTCTTAAACATAACAACAAATAATTCTAATTAGACTTTAAAGGTATAATAGTTTAAATCATCTTCCATATTGCCAAAGAACAAATGAATGCCTTCAACATTACTGAACATAATCAACCCTTAATATTTTTTACCCAACAGGACAGGCAGTAGGGCATTTCTCTCAATATGTACCCGTGTGGGGCAAGAGAGGGGAAGCTACCAGAGAGAAGCTATCAGAGAAAAGACAGGTGGGAACAATGTAGGCAAAATTGAGCAGAAATGTTTTCTCTATAGGAAATGACATACTTGGAAAGCACTATTCAAAAACATGTAAGGTGACAGATCTGAAACCTGGTACTGACACCTGGGGGAACCTATAAAAACAGAGATGTACTAGCTCTACCATGCCCAGATATCAAGCAAGAATATGCAAATGAAACCTGAAAATCTGTATATCTCTAAGATCTGATGCAGCCAATCTCCCAGTAACCACAGATATAGTCTTAAGATCCCAGTGTATATTCATTCTCTCTCCCCCAACTCCCATCTATATGCACACATACATATGCATACACTACATATACTCCCTATTTCACAGATCTGCTCTCCAGGGTAAAGAAGAACAAAAACTTTGTGCACTGCTGGTGGAAATGTAAAAAGGTGCAAACTCTCTGGAAAATAGCCAGCAGTTCCCTCAAGTGTACTGATTCAACAATTGCATTCCTAGGTTTTATACCCAAGAGAAATGAAAACAGCCACACAAAAGCTTGTACATGAATATTTATAGTAGCATTATCTATGATAACCAAAAGATAGAAAGAGCTCAAATGTCCAAATAAATGAATAGACAGATGCACAGAATGTGGCATTACCCATATGAGAAAATATGTGTCAGCCATAAAAAGGAATAAAGGTTTCTACATGCCACAATATGGGTGAACCTTTAAAATACTATGTGGAATGGAAGAAGCCAGACACAAAAATATCCAGAATAGGCAAATCTCTAGTGGCAGAAAGTAAATTAGAGGTAACTTAGTGTTGAGGCAGACAGGACATCAAAAGACACAGGGTTTTCTGTTGGGAGAAAGGGAAGTGATGAAAACATTTTGAACTCAATTGTTTAACAGTTGCACATATCTGTGAATAGATTAAAAACCACCGAATCATACACTCTAACTTAAATTGATGATATGTGAATTATCTCAATAAAGCTGATTCTTGAGTTCTTTATCTTCTTTCAGTGGAGAGTAAGAGGCAAAAACCAGACATACAAGATCTGGAAATTACCCATGATTTTGTCCCTGACACCCCAAATTCTGATCAGTCACCATGTCATGTGATGCATGTGACTCTGTCATCCTGTTCATGGTTCATGGAGCCAAAGACATCTGCTACCATCTCTCATGTGAACCCACAGCAAGGGACTCAGCCTCTAAGCATTTGTCCTCTTTGGTAAATACAGGCATCAGTATCTAAACTTTGTTAAGAAAACTTTGTGAATATTAAATTATATAACATATGGAAAGTTGCCACTACTGTGCCTGACGCAAAACAAGCACTTAATAATCAGTGATGAGGCCCCTCCTTTCCAAACTCACACCCACCACTGGGCCTTGATCTACCTTTCCTCCCTATGTCTAACTCCCATTAAGCTTTCCTACAAATGGTGTTGTTTCCAGTGTTCTCCACACCTTTAAATACTAAGTCTTTAACAGGGTTGGAAGAGCCCATGGCATGAGGGACCTTGCCCATATTTAACTCACACTTCGTACATACTCTAGTGATCTGCTTTTTAAATTTCCCCAAATGTTCCATAGTGTTTCTAAACTCCATGCCTCTGCTCACCCTCTGACCTCTCTCATAAGCTACCCGACACATAGTGCCTGTTTAACTTAGAAAAATTTTCCATCCCTGAAAACTGTTGGGAAGCAATCATTTGCAGGAAGCCTTTCCAAATATCCCAGATGGACAGTGCTGAGAGTCATAGCCCAGTAGGAATGACAAGGGCATTTTTGGTTGAAAGGTGATGCCAGCAAGCCATTGAGATGATAATGATTATGTTAAGATGTGCATTCAATTGGATATTAGACCCCTGCTGTCCGCCTGAGCCTGCTACTTTGGAGCTCTAGTGGGATTCCCGGAGAGTTCCCATTGGTTGGAGAAGTGCGGTAGGAGGGATTTCCGATTGGTGTGGTGTGTCCCAGGAGAAGGCCAAGTGTGTGGAGTTGGGGGGGGGGGGGTTTGGAAATAAAGTTTGTTCCTGCTTTAGTGGCCCGTGATTTTGTGCCCAGCCAGACTGCGACAGGGCAGTGCTTCTCACATTTTAGCAAGCATCAGAATCATTTTGAGAGTTTATACAAACACAAGCTCATTGGACTCCACCCCTACCCTAGAGGAGTGCACTCAGTAGGTCTGAGGTATAATGATCAGAGAGACTGCATGTCCAATGAGTTAGCAGGTGACCACACAATGAGAACTACCGTCATAATGCCACCTCTCCCACTATACTCATCACACAATATTCTAAATTCCTCTTTATAAAAGCTTTTATCCTGTGAGCTCTTTGAAGACAGGGAGACTAACTTTATTGCTAACTGCAGACCCAGCATGAAGTTATTTAGAACCTCCAAAAATCTGTTCCTCCTTTCCCAGTATCATTAATAGTTCCACTACTTTCCCAGTAGCTGAAGGCTTGCTCTCCAGTAGCCACCCAGCTTTTGCCTTTGTCCTTCAGAATCAGAGGGACAGACTTGCTGTTTGCGTGCCTCAGGCCAGTCCTCTATCGCTGGCCCCTACTATTCAAGCCTCACCACCACTATCACCCCTCTTTACTGGGCTCCCAGGCTTCACTTTCTTCTTAATTCAAATGATGCTCTGAGTTCTCCTAAAATAATCCTTTGTACACATGAGCTCTTAATCCAACTTTCAATAAATCCCCATAGCCAACTGTATTCAAGCCCTGTGCTCTGGTTCCCATATACATATCCAGATGCTGAGATGCTGACTACTCTTTAAGTCCATGAGAATTCTGAGAGTGACAGCCTTCCCCCTTTTATCTTTGTCTCAGTTTTGCTAAATCGTAATGGAATGGGCATTTCAACAACCATAGAGCTCCATTAAATTTATGGATCAAACAGATCGTCCACACTTGCATAGCTGCTTATATCCTAGCCCCTTCTGTTCATTCCTCTCATTTATATTCTTACCACTCAAAGTAAACACACTGTATTCTATTTTATTGAGGATGAAAACATTCGATAGTAACAATCAATGGTAAAGAAAACCAGTACCTATGTAACTAAAACCAGTTAGCAAGTGGCCCCTCTCATTACTGTCTTGGCCTTTACCTTCATCTGTGCCAGCTGCTGCTGCTGCTGCTGCTGCTGTAGCCTGCGCAGGGCCTCTTGCTGCTGTTGCCTCTGGCGCATAAGCTCCTTTTGCCGCTGCAGCTCAAGCTCTTTTCTCTTCCGCTCTTCCTCTTCATGCCGGAGTCTGGCTGCCTCCTCTTCCATTCGAAGCCGGTTCTCCTCTAATCGACGCTGGGCTTCTTCTTCTTCCCGGGCCCATTTGGCAGCCTCCTCTTCCTTTCCAGAAGGAAAAATTAAAGAAAAAGGGGGGGAAAAAAAAGTATTAATTGTAGGGGAAAAGGTCTGAATCACTTTTGAAAGCTTCTATCGGATAGCTTATAAAAACGACAGCAGAAACTCTGTTTAACATGACCCAAGGCAGAAATGTTTTTTTTTGTTTTGCTTTGCAGTACTAGGGACTGAACCAGGCGTGCTCTACCACTGAGCTACACACCTAGCCCTTCTTATTTTTTGATACAGGGTCTCACTAAGTTGCCCAGGCTGGCCTTGAACCTATAATATTCATGCCTTTGCCTCTGAAATTATAGGCACATGCCACCATCCTTGGCTCAGAAATGAGTTTTCTTTTAAAACAATTTACAGTACCCACAAAGGCCTGGCACACTCAAAAGGAGGCAACTTTAATGAATTATACAACTGTCACTTTGAAAGTATATTGATGAAAGCCCTGATCTCAAAGTGGCTCGTCACTAGCTGCAGAAAAGTCTCCTAAAAAGAGTGCTCCGTTTGAGGTTCAGGAGCTTTCCAGGGTGTTCAGTGCAAGAAGTACCAAGATCCACTACCATAAAACTTCAGCCAATTCTGGAACAAGAACAACTTCTTTTTTCTCTTTTTTCTTTTTGTAGTTGGAGAGAGACAGCCTGCATTTATTTTATTTATTTATTTATTTAAGTGCTAAGGATCGAACTCACTGTCTTACCTGTACTATGCAAGTTCTTTGCCACTGAGCTACAACCCCAGCCCTACAGGAACTTCTTAAGACCACTTAATTCCACCACTGGATCTCATCTCACCCACAGCCACAAAGTTCTTTAAAAACGTCTGTCCTTGACCCATTCTTCACCTTTTACTAACTTTACTCTTACCTAGGATCATTTTCCTTCTGGTTCCTTCCCTCAAAAACCACTATTCCCTCCAGAACTGTTTAAAAAAAAGACTCCTTGCCTTTGTTTGCAGTCTGTTTGCTGTGCCTACAATGTTCTGTCTCACGCATGGTAACATGTTCTACAAAATTTAGGTCAGATGTCAGCCACTCTAAGGGGACTCTGGAGATGAATTTCACCTCTATCTTTTCATTATGCAAAACTACCCCTCATCTGACTCTCCTATTTGCTTCTAGTACAACTGGGGCAGCTTGTTTCTACATTGCCAGTGACCATTTCTTTTAGTCTTCTTCCTTACAAAGTCTCCTGGAATCAGTGATGCAGATCTAATTTAGACCAAAGTGTCAACTACTAGGAAATTTCTAAGAAAGACATTCTTTCCAGACAAAAGGAACAAAGGACGAGACAAGAATCACTTCCTTTTGGACACAGGTTATACAAGGGCAAGATCCCCCAAATTCCTAAACATGAGATAAAAAATATAAATTCAGAAGTTAAGACTGCCATACTTGTAATCCCAGGAACTTAGAAGGCCAAGGCAGGAGGAATACAAGTTCATGGCCAGCATGAGCAAGTTTAAGAGAGACCCCATCTCAAAATAAAAACAGCTGGGGATATAGCTCAGTGGTAGATCACCCCCAGTACCCCACTCCCAGTATTTGACCCCCAGTACCCCCCAAAAAAGAAAAGGGCAGAAGTCTGTGATGGAACTGAATCCTAATGTCATCCTTGTCACCTGAAGCAAGTGGGTAACACTTATGGTTAGACCTCCTTGGTAAGCAAGGCAACAAACAATGTCACTTGTCGTTTGAGTCACCTTCAGGTGTGCAGTTCCATTTCACAGTTGAAAGTATCCTGTGGCGTTTATTTATTTATTTATTTTTTCCAACAACTTCATCACCTATAGGCTGCAAGCTTCTTGAAGACAGAAACTATTTCCTAGTGGTCTCATAGACCACCATAAAACAAGCATGATAACTGGCATAGAGCACATTGACTAAGCAACTTAACTGTTAAAAAATGATCACTACACAAGCTAACTGGGAAGTTATCTACCCATGAAAAAGTGAGTTTCAGTTTCTGAGAGAGTTTTAATCTACAACCCAGGCACAAGTCAGTCATCTCCAGCTTTGTGTCAATTTACATAAAAAAAAAAACCCCACATCCTGAAGTGTGGACTTACATAGTGACTTCAAAAGAACACAGCAAGGAGGGATAATTTCAGAGTGATAAACCTGACAAACCTAACTAAAGCCAATTATGTAATCAAAGTGTACATCAGCAGTCATAAATCATGAACAATATGTACCCTTAATATGACGTAATGAAAATCCACTTTGCTTCTGTAATCTTCCTCCCAAACACCTGTAACCACAGCTATTCATGAGAAAACTTCAAATTCCAATGTAAGATACCCTAACCAATAAAATGACCAGTAATTCTCAAAACTCCTAAGCTCATCAAATGGCTGGGGAAACATGTAGCTCAGTGATGCAGTTTAAACCCTCAGTTTAAACCCTGGCACCCCAAAGCGATGGAAGGTTAAGTCAAGTCTGCAAAACTGTCACCGTCAAGAAAGACCTAAGGGGACCCAAATAAATATAATGTGGTATTTGAAATGGAATCCTAGAACAGAAGAAAGATGTTAGGGAAAAGTCTCAGGAAATAATAAAGGACTTGAGTTAACAATAATTAACTGGCTTATCAGCTGTAACAAATATGCCATACTAATCTATTAATAACAGGCGAAACTATAGGGAATATATGAGAGCTTTCTATACTATTTTCTAAAGTCATCTGAAAATCTAAAAATATTTTGAAAATAAAGTTATTTATTTAACAATAAATAAATCTACTTATATTCTTAAACAGAATGACATGCTCTGGGGTTCTGGTTTTCTGTAGTGGCAAAACACCATAATTGGACCAACTAAATCACATGTAATTATAAAAGCTGAACATATTTCAAAGAATCAAAACCAAAAGGTAAAAAACAAAACATAAAACACCACCAGAGGGAAATAAAGGAAGAACTCTATACTAAAAAAAAAAAAAAAAAAATGTGGGCTGGGGATGTAGCTCAGTGGTAGAGCACTTGTGTGAGGCCCTGGGTTGATCCCCAGCACCTCAAAATAAATAACACATACATACTATACATAACCAAATGTGTAAGGTTTCCAAGTTTGTGACAGTTTGCCTGAGGGCTCTCCCCAATTCACAAAGGGCTCAATTAGCTTGAGATGCTAAAGGGAAGGTTCTGGGATAGAAGAGTAGCCATATTCAGGGGGAACATCTGCAAAGGGGCTGGAAGAAAGAAGGGAGCTATACAAGAGATGAGGCCTCAGACCTGCGGACAACTCTAGCTACAGGCTCGGGGCAGACCTCAGGGATGGAGTCTAAAGGGAGCAGCTGGAAACTACAAGAAATGAGAGAAGATTCCAACTGCTTCCCACAAGAGGAGTGGTCAGGAAGAAGATGAAGATTGAGTTCAATGAAAGCCAGAAAAAAACCCTTTAAAGGAATGAAAAAGAATCCATATAATTCCCAATGCTCACTATACAAATTTTTTTTTAAGAGAAAGAATTTTTAAATATTTATTTGTTTAGTTTTCTCGGGCACAACATCTTTATTTAATTTTTATGTGTTGCTGAGGATCGAACCCAGCGCCCCGCGCATGCCAGGCAAGCGCGCTACCACTTTAGCCACATCCCCAGCCCCCACTATACAATTTTTAATACCTTTTAAAAAACATTTTTATTAGTTATTGATGGACCTTGATTCATTTATTTGTTTATATGTGGTGTTGAGAATCGAACCCAGTGCCTCATATATGCTAGGCAAGCACTCTACCGCTGAGCCACCACCCCAGCCCCTACAATTTTAAAAATCATTAGATACACAAAGAAAGTGAAATAATGAGAAAATAAAAATATATACCATACTTTATAATATCACCTTAATAGAATTTAATAAGGAATATGAGGAGGTAAAAAGGAACATCTCACAACCTTGGAAAGTTCATTAAGAAGACAACACCAATAGGTTTGTATGCAACTAAAAAGAGAGCTCAACACAGCAAATACTAACAATGATAGGGACAAATGGGCAAATTAAAAAAAAAAAATCTCAGCATCCCTCTCTTGGCAATTGATATAACAAGTAGATAAAAATTAAGGATATAAAATAGTTGAATTCTATCAACCACCTTGACCTGTCATCCATAGAACATTATACTGAACAGATAAATTGGACATTATCAAAATTTAAAACTTAATGTTTCAAAGCATGAAAACAAGAAAGTGAGAGAATAACATAGATATAAATACATAAATTCAGAGTTGGTTGGTTTTTGATAAAGATGTTAAGACTTAAGAATAGGACTGTCTCTTCAATAAATGGTTCTAAAAAAACACTAGATATTCACATGCCAAATGAAATCAGATCCTTATCTCACACCGTATACAAAAATCATTCCATTAGTAACTACAGAAGCTGGGTGGTTTATGGAAATTTGATGTACTATTCTGTTTATTTTGTATAAAGTTGAAACTTGCTAAAAAATAATTTACAGTTTTCATCATTGTAGAGAGACTGGTTTTATTTTTATCCCAGGAAACAGGGTTTCATTTGATGATAAAAAGAATTTAGACAGAAGTAAAAAGAGCCATTTAGGGTGCTGGACATGATATTGCACACCTATAATCCCAGCAACCAGGAAGATGGAGGCAGGAGAATTACTAGTGCAGTAACTTAAGGAGACTGTATTTCAAAAATAAAATAAAAGTGCAAAGTGTAGTTCAAAGAAAGAGCAGCCCTGCATTCGATCCTCAGTATTGAAAACAAAACAATAATTGTTAAGAGTTTTTAAACAAGTCTGGATAGCGCCTGGCAAAATGCCAGAAGGAGTGGTTTGTGAAGTAATGCCAGGGAGCCATTAAGTGTGGAGATTCCTTATTGGTTGACTGCTGTATCTAGTTTATGTTAATTAAGATAAGCTGTGTGGAATGTATATATACCGCTCCTGTCCTACAATAAACGGCTTCCACTCATGCTGTGTCAATGTACACAAGTTGCTCGTCACCCGTCACCCCCCCCCAGTTTGCTGCAGCCTGACTTCGGCAAACAATAACAAAAAAGAGCCAATTAGGCTTATTTGGGTAATTTTCAACAAACTGAAAAGGCTTTAGATAGGCTATGTTAATGTCCTAATTCTTAGTTTCAGAGAAGCAATTAGAAGCAAACACTTGGCCACCTGCTTGCGTAACAATTCTTCCTGCTTCCGCCTTTCTTCCTCTTCTCTTCTCCTTTCCTCCAGTCGTCTGAGAGCTTCTTCTTGCTGTTGTCTTTCTTCCTCTTCTCGCTGTCGTCTTAATGCAATTTCTTGCTCCCTCTGGCGTCGCAGAGCCTCTTCCTGAAGAAATAAAGGGTAAGGGAGCAAGGTTAAACTCGTTTATCTATTGGTATCATATCAATTAGTTATAATTTAGAAAGGAATAGATGATGTGCTGAGTCTCTGTGAACAGTAAATATAAAAAAGTATATAATGAGGATCTAGAGTAAAAAGTATTATATAAGTTGGAGAAGTGGCACCTAAGAAAGTTGTATTTAAAATAATAGTAGTTAAAATTGTAGTACACTGTGAATTCTAAAAGTCTTCTGGCTTTTCTATTAGCTACATCATTTACTGATTAACCCTAGAAGAACTACATTAGAATTTAGGCTTTGCTTTCTCCATTGGTACTTTTAACCCCTATTCTTTAATCAGCTGGAAACTTAAGGTATAGTTAGTTAATCATTATAGCCACCAAAAATTCCTGATGAGGTAAGAATAAGTTCTTCTAGTCAGAAGTACTGAGAAAACCATGTGTCCCAGAACATGTTCTAAAAAACAAAAATCCCACCAATATCATCAAATACAACACAGAAAAGGATCCTGCTGTCAAAGTCATTTAGCAAACACCGAGCACTACAGAATTAAATGGATTTTGTCACTGTGGTACTTCTCAGAGCCTTTTAATACTGCTGCATAGTACAACTCAGAAATGTAAGTAGTTCTCATCTCAGCATGAATCCTTCTGTTCTTCACAGAGCACTTCTTAGGGCCTATAAGTGGGATATATATGTGCAGCGAGGCTAGACTTCTGGGTCAGTGAAGAGCAGATTCTTTCTATGGGAGTCTATATATAAAAGCTCCAAAGAAAAATGAACCAAGCACATGAACAGACATACAGTGAAAAATACATGAAAAATGTTAGGCCTCACTATTTATCAATACTTAGAAAAGACTTAGCTATAAGGATTTTTAAACACTCTTATATATAAAATAGTTAAAACATAGGAACAAGCCTCATCTCTCACAATAGGGAACTGGCTAAATCATTATAATTTAGAACATAAAAAATTTTCATATAGCTAGCAAATATGACAATGTAGTTCTGTTGAGGTATATTTGACATACTCATTAATGTAGTTATAAAAAATACAGCTGGCCCTTTTTATCTATGGATTTGACCAAACCACAAAATAAAAATATTCGGAAAACAAAGATTGTATCTATATTAAGCTATACAAACTTTTTACCTGGTCATTATTACCTTAAAAATATAGTATAACAACTACTTACATAATATTTACATTATGTTAGGTATTGTCAGTTATCTAGAGATGATTTAAACTATACAGGAAGATACGATTAGGGACCTGAGCATCTTGAGATTTTGGAATTTTAGGACCTGTAGAGGTCCTGGAACCAATTCTCTGCAGATACCAAGGGAGAGCTATATTTAGTTACATGTATGGAGTTTTGATTTTTATTTCCTCCTCCCTAATTCCTCAGAAAAGATTCATTAAGGGAAAGAACAGAGGGCAAAAGTCTAAGTCAATGAGAACTACAATATCATAAAGATACTTGCATGAATGAACATATGAAAAGATGCTCAATATCAATCAAAACCACGAGATATGGCTTCCTACCCAACAGGGAAGGCCCTCAGAAAGAAAACAAAACCAGAAAGTGTGACAAGGATGTAGAGATACTGGAAACCCTTATGTGTTGTAGGAACAAAAAATGGTAAAACAGCTGTGAAAAACAGCATGATGGTCCCTCAAAAAATTCAAAATAGAATTAGCATATGACCCAGCAACTCCACTTCTGGGTATATACTCAAAAGTTGTAAGTAAAACTCAATACATCTATACATCAATGTTCACAGCAACAATATTCACAATAGCCAATAACAGAAGTCATCCAAATGTCCATCAAGAGATGGATAAATACAATGTATACTGGAATATACACCACCTTAAAAAGGAAGGAAATTCTGACATATGATGCAACATGGATGAACCTTAAATGAAATAAGCCAGTCACAAAAAAGACAAACATTGCATACTTCCAATTATAGGTATCAGGAACAAATTCACAGAGAAAGAATTGTGGTTACTGGGGACAGAGGGAAGCGGAAATGGGACTCTCTGTTTAATGGGTAAGGTGTTTCAGTGTGTGAAGATGAAGTAGCTCAGTAGACAGATAGTAGTGAAGTCACACAACACCATGAGTGTATATAATGCCACTGAACCAACGTTTAAAGACTAACCACTTTATGTTATTGCAGATTTTATTTTCTGAAAACACACTTGACTTTAAAAAAAAATATATTTTTTGCTGCTCACCAAAATTACTCCCTCATGTTTTTAGCAGAAAGGCTAGAACTTCTGAAATCTAACTGGTTTATAAAATGCAGAAAATTATGAAAAAGAAATCAATTTGAAGAATTATTTACTAAGACTATGGGCACTGGTGGAAAACAAAGGTTCTCTATAAAGGTGAGTGAGTCTTCTAAAGTTCTAATCTTAATTATGCTAACCCCCACCCCCCACCCCGCTTTGGGGAGCAGATCACGGAAGCCCTACTCTGACAAAGACAGTTCCCAGAGATGTACCTGTTTCCTTCGGGCAAGCTCTTCTTCCTCCCGCCTTTTCCTCTCTTCCTCCTGCTGCCTCCGAAGAATTTCCTCCTGTTGTCTCCGGAGCTCTTCTTGCCTCTTTCGCTCCTCCTCTTCCCGTTTTGCCCTCATTTCTGCCTCTCTTCTCTCCTGCTCTAGCTGGGATTACATGAGAGTATTCTCAGAAACTTGAAATCAAGCACAGGAGCACCCCAAAAGCACTGAGCAGTACTGGCAGAAGCTGGGGGGTGCAGACACTGCCATTCACTCAGTTGCTGGTGCTGCAACTGGGTGATGAAACCCTGCATGGACTCTAAGCTCTGACGAGCCACAATAACCACAAGAAGCAGGGGTGTGGTGGCGCACACTTGTAATCCCAGCGACTCAGGAGGCTGAGGCAGGAGGATCGAAAGTTTGAGGCCAGCCTGGGCAACTCAATGAAACCCTGTCTCAAAATAAAAAAAATAAAAAGAACTGGAGATGTAGCTTGATGGTAAAGCATCCCTGGGTTCAATCCCCAGTACCAAAAAATTAAACTGAATGCATTCTCTTCCATTCTGGCCATCTCTCTCCTTTCCATACTATACTGCACTGCAGACAGAACGTGGCCAGTATGAGAGTATCATCAGAACTCTCCTGGGATGGCATGTCTGTTATTTAATCTCTCTACAAAGAATTTTCTGACTTAAGATCTAACAGTGTAGCTACAAAGTTCAACTGCTACTGTGTAAAGCTGCTAGTGTGGAAAATGATACAATTCTTTAAAGTTTGAAGACCTTACCAAATTATATCACATATATTTCCCAAATACTACTCAAATCCAGCACCTTTATCTCCAGTCCCGTTGCCACAGCTATAGTTCAGGCCTTCACTTTCCTCATCCATGTTCCTAAGAGTCTCTTATCAAGTTTTTCCTCATCTAGCTCTGCCCATGTTCCCTAGCTCAATACCAATTCCCACCAAAATAAAACAAACACTCATAAACTTAGATTTAATAGCACACTTCACTCTAAAAATAAATCTAACTCCTTAATATGACATGAAAAATACCCTCATGATGACCATCCTCATCTCCTTAGTCTCTCATCTTTTATTGCTCACATACACCTTATCTCTGGGCCACACCAAATTACTCAACTGTCTCCAGAGTCCATCATGTTCTCCCTCACTTTACTGGTGTTGCAGTCCTTCCAATGCAATCTAATATTCACCTCCTTCCACTTTGTCATCCCTAAACCCTTCACCTGGGCTAAGTCCTACTACCCTTAAAGTGAAATTTTACTCTGGTATTACTATCCGAAGTGTAACCCAATTCCTGATCCCCACCTGTCTAATTAGGTAGATGACTCCTATACTCTTGACCACACTGTGCTACTTTGAGTGCTAATAATCTGTGCTTCCCTTCCCGGCCCCCACAAGACTGCAAACTCCCCAAGGGACTCTACTTTCATCAGTTATATGTTCCCAACACAAAGCACCAAGGAACCAAAAGATGCTCAAGAATTCTATGAACTATGGTGTCTCGCTCATTTACCGGAAAAGACCTGAACCATGAATCTTGGCACTCTAAATATAGACTGTTACTACCTCAAGCAACAGGAATGCATTAAGAGTAAAATAGTAATGAGACTTGCTTGGAGGCATGAGATCCCAGAAAACATTATATAATGACAACAGGAGTTTGCACAGATATCCATCCTCTTTAACTCCAAAATTCAAGATTCTAGCTCCTCTAGGAAATGTGGATGGAACACAGGACTAGTGATAATTTCCAGCTTTTCAGTCATATCTGGGGATATGAGAAAATGACTATAAAGATTCAATGTGAGAACTCAAGCCATAGATCAGGAGTTCAACAAACAATGTAGTGGATATTTGTCACAGCCTTAGTATTTCTAAAAAACGCTCATAATAAGAATAATGTAACTAAAATACACACATGACCATGATCATTCATGTCAACTATTGCTCCCTCTTTAATTTTAATTATATTGTGAGGCTGTTTTGGGGAGAAGAGACACAAAAAGGATAGAATATGAATGTACTTATATCAGCTAAGCAGAAGTAAACTAAAAAGAAAAAGTCTGGCTAGCAAGAGAGAAACAAGTGAATAAAGAGAAAGGCTTATGTCCTGAAGCTGGGAGGCATGCACAGCCATGGTGGCGTGAGTTCCAGACCTTTGCAGCTTTGGCTTTCTCTAGCTGCTGAAGCTGTTCCAGGGCAGGGCCTGGTGCTGTGGTTTCCAGGGGAAGATCCCATACACTTCCACCTTCCCAAACTGTAAGAAAAAGGAAAAAATGAGGGGAGTCAGAGCTTGCACTTACGGTCATATACTCATAGACATAATTTAAAAAAAAAAAAAAAAAAGCTGCTTTTTTCCTGGGCCTGAATGAGCTCTATCATACACATCTGTTTTGCTTTTAAGTAGACTGAACTACCAGCAGATTCTCGTTTCTATCACTGTCCTTCAATACATCTAGAAAGAAAGAAGTATAGGGCATTTATTGGGGAACTGATGTCAAAATGCAAAAGCTCTATAAAGGCATCTGTTCAAATCTCCCCAACAGGTAATAAACTAGTTTTAAAAACTCCCAAGGGCATATGGCAAGTATGTGGCCATGCCAAGACTTCAATCCCAGTGTGCTGGATCCAACTCCATAGACTTCCAGTAGCCATATAGCCTCTTGCTATACTCAACCAGAGAGACCTAGGTGAGTACATACTGTGGAGATATTAAATGCCACTGAACTATTCATTTAAAAATGGTTACAGAATGAATTTCATCTGGAAAGAGAGCCTGTGTGTTACAGCTGGAGCTGGGGAGGAGTCTGGCAAGATTGGAGGTGTTACAAGTAATATTTGGACAGGGTGATCTAAAAGGCAGTACAGGATCATACATGGAAATGACAGATAAATGCTTCTGAGTCTGTTTTGTTACTGCCAACAAGATTTGCCAACATCGCTTTTGATCTATTTCCTATGACACTCAATTTATGAACTACTAAATACTGTATAAAGCCAATGGACTTTAAAAGGACTATGAACCCACACAAATCCAAAGAGAGAAATTGTTTAATAATGTACTTAAGAGTTTCCAAAACACTGGAGAATATTTTAATATCTTAAATATAAATGACTTCTAAAAAAATAATAAGGTACACATAGCATAGAAAGTTTTTGAAGGAAGACAATACATCCTTTCACTGTCATAATCTACAGGATCAGTGTTAGAACACTGCTTTATGGCTCAACAGCTCTTCACCAATGTTTACAGTTCCTAAGAATTTTCAAACAACATATAGCTCTCTCTTTTTTTTTTAAACATAATATCTTTACTTTATTTATTTATGTTTATGTGGTGCTGAGGGTCAAACCCAGGGCTTCGCACGTGTAAGGTTAGCATTCTACCGCAGAGCCACAACCCCAGCCCCCAAACTCATATCTTGTATAAGAACTACTCATTATTCAAACTTGCCACACCTCTGCAGACATCAGACCTTAAGAAAAAGAAGTACTTACTTCACCAGCATCCCGACTTTAAAAAAAAAAAGAATCCTAACCACAAATTTTCTAATTTGATGCAAAAAGATCAGAGGATGAAGGAAGGTACTCATTTCAAAGCATGCTTTTCCCTTCCCTACATTTCTGGGCATCTACAATATTAATGCATGTTATCAATCCTTAACTCAAAGAGAGATCTGTTTTTACTTATGCATATTTTCACTTTTAACTAAAGAAACCAAAAGCAATTAAGACTTTTCCATTAGAAAATCCTTTACAGTGTATTTTTAATTCCTTCAGTCTTCTTCTATGATCTATTAATAATGGAACTTTTTGTTAATATTCAATACAGAATGGATAAAAATCTGACACATTTTTTAAAAACTGAATTATAAATGACTATTACACTCTTAAGTGTTTACCTGTAGGCTGTGAGGCTGTTGGCTGAAGTTCCCAGATAGAGCCAGTATCTGGCACTGACACAGACCTAGTTACTGAGGGAATGATGTTCTGATCAGATACTCTGCAAGAGGGGGGAAAAAATTAACATATTCTTGTCACTTGCAAAAATAAGAGAACTTCTAGATTATTATGGATTTTCCGGGTTATTGATCACCAAACTACCAAAGCAGTTAGACGAGGAACAAAAATAGAGGCACAGTGATCACAGGAATCTTCTAAAGTATTAGCAAATATTGGTTTCTAAATGACTGCTGTACCTACTATCTTTTAAAAACCCTGATCGTGTCAACAAAAGTCACAGTGGTAGCAGGTTATGATAAAAAAACCAAAAAGTCTGTACTTTTGTCTCTGAAGTTTTCCATGTTAGCTTAGCCAAGTCCTATAGCCTCACAGAGCCCCAGTTTGCCTTCATTAAAACAGAGGTCCTACTACCAACCTGCCTACTTCATAGGATAGATTAAGGTTCAAAGGAGAAATATGAATCCTTTTGATTAAATCAGACAGTAAGGTTTTGAAAGCAGTAACTGGCACATCTTCAGGAGCTAAGACAAATATCCTGAATCATAATCTGAAAGAGCAGAAACTTAAATTGGCTTTCTGCATAATTTCCCTGTCCTTGCACCTACTTCAATGGTTTTTGGGTTCCAGAAAATCTTAACTCTATATAGCATTGTTAATATATTTTTACAGATATTATGGATGAAAGTAAAATTAAAATCCTAGACTATGATTTTTTTGTTGTTCTTACAATTCCAAAAGATCATGCTGCTTTTCAAGAAATAATGTTCTCATTATTCTTTGGTTGTTATTATTATTATTATTTTTTTAAAGAGAGAGTGAGAGAGGAGAGAGAGAGAGAGAGAGAGAGAGAGAGAGAGAGAGAGAGAGAGAGAGAGAGAGAGAGAGAAATTTTTTTTAAATATTTATTTTTTAGTTTTCAGCGGACACAACATCTTTGTTGGTATGTGGTGCTGAGGATCGAACCCGGGCCGCATGCATGCCAGGCGAGCACGCTACCGCTTGAGCCACATCCCCAGCCCATTCTTTGGTTATTATTAAAAAAAAAAAAAAAAAAAAGTTTTTTTTTTTTTTAATGCTAGACCATCTAAATTACTTTTTAAAACTATATTGTTTTTATATACAACATGTAGATATGGGTTATCTGTCAATATTCTGACAAATTCACTCATTATACCAAATTTCCTTTAATTCTTTCACATGTGTGAATGTACACACAGGCATGCACATACACACACACAAATGTGATACATAATGGAAATGACCACCAACCTCATCTTTAGAGCCTGGAACTGTTGGAGGAGAAGAGCCAACTGTTGCTGTTGCTGGGTTGGCAAGGTTGTTTTCTGTTGCTGATTCAAAACCTGTGCGTATTGTTGTCTTCAAAAAGGTAAAGGAAAAAAAAAAAAAGAGTAACCCTACATTTATAGTTCACTTGAATAAGACATCGAAAGACAAAGTTGAGTTCATCTTCACCCCCAAAATCATTAGAAATATCAACCAAATATATTTTATGGTCCTCCATAATAATAACAGTCACACAGAAAATTTGTAATTTGTTTCAGAGATAACTAAACTCATAGACGACATGTTTCTGGTGAATATATAGATGATGTATTTCTTGCAAAAAGCAAGCAACAACAAAAATCCCACAAAATGTAGAAAAGTGCCAAATGCCTTCAATATGAAAACAGTCCCTTACCAGATTGAAAGTGAAAAATAAAACAGATTTAACAGCTATTTCCAAATGAAATACCCTCTGCAAAAAATAAAATCATGTCTATAAAATTTTTTAAATTTGAATAATTCCACTTGGAAATTTATAGGTAATTTTCCCCCCTGGATCTGAGAAGGGACAAAGAGTAAATATTTTCAGCTTTGCAAGCCACACAGTCTCAACTCTGCCTTTGTGAAGCAAAAGCAGCCACAGACAATCTGTAAACAAATGGATGGACCTGTGATCCAGTAATACTTTGCTTATTTAAAAAAAAAAAAAAAAAGTAATAGGCCACCAAGGACAGACTTTGCCAACCTGCACACCAGAGCAAACCTACTTCTTCTATAAGGATTATGCAACCTGAGTGATTTTGTCATCATTTCGGCCTACTCTTAAACAGTATAAACTTTAACTTCTTTCTGCCAGTCACCTATATGTTGTCTCACTGACAGCCTCAGAAGGCATTAAGTTCTTCAAACATTTTTGCCTCTTCCTTTAATAAATACAGACCTTGAAAATTATAACTATGTGTCATCTTCTGCAAAAGTCTGGCATTTAAGAGGTAAGATAAGACTACAGTTAGAATATACAGTGGTCAACATGCCACTAGTAGGCTACTAAAGTATCACGTGAGCCTGCAGCTCTCTGCTGTAAAGATGAGAGACTGGGGAGCAGATCCTGTCTAAAGCCCCTTTGGTGCTGCAGTATATCATGCTACATTTTTGCTTACTGTATCAAGAACTGCTGGTACTGGAGGTGCTGCATCTGGTACAAGGCTGTGAGTTCCTGCTGCCTGGTCAATCGTTCCTGGTCCAACTCCCCCTGGGAGTAAAGGGATGGAGGAAGAAACACTATTAAATAAATTGCAAAGAACCTAAAAGCCACTTTGTGTGTGTGTGTGTGTATATATATATATATATATATCTGAAAGCAAAATGAATCCAAGACCTTCCCCTCAAACACTATTCTTTTACCCAAACCCTTAACTAAAAACTCTAGTATCTTTAAAAACTAAACAATGCCATCTAGTGGAATAAGATGGTGTCTTAATTATAAGAGATTCCTTAAGGTGAGGAAGAGTCAGGAGGTACTATCAAAGAGATGGAGAGGGAGATACTATTAAGAAACTTTCAAAAGGAACTTTTTGGGGAGAGGCCTGGAGAAACTTCAAGAAGGATTCCCCAGCCAAAGATTTAAGTCCCCGAAATATCTTGAAGCACTGATGATATTTGTTTCAGGGAAAGACTCAAATTTAAGAATTCTGTGAGCCAGAAAACAAGAGGCAAATGGAGATATGAGGAGGAGAATGTGCATTCCATCTAAGGAACTCAAAGAGGATATTTATGTTGAAGCACAGCAGATGAATGAAGGTTAAAGTTCTAACATGAGCTTAGAGTGGTAAGGAGGCAGACCACAGGTAGGTCAGGGTAAGTTGTTGGTTTTCCTTCATGCTACATCTGCTGGAAAGGTACTGAAGAATCCTGTTTCACAAGTACACGGGACAAAGAGGGATGGAGAGATTTGAAAAGGCCATTATAGCTCAGTATTCAGTCTCTAATTATCATTTCAATCATTTTCAAAGAACTACCATTTCTTTCTTATTAAAAGTAACACGGGGTTGTGTTTCAAAGAGAACCAAGTGCTCCTGTTTCTAACATGTACTCCAATTGAGCTGGAAAGTACTTACCATATGAGGAGGGGGAGCTGGGCCTGGGGAGAAGGGAACTCTTCCCCACATCTTCATGATATCACCGAGAGGTTGGAAGCTTTCATCACATGCTCTCTTCACCAACAAAGACATAGTAAAGTAGCCAGCCTGAAACCATTCCGCCATCTCTTGATTATTAAAGGGACCTGTAAGAGTACCAATTAAACAAAAAAAGCAGTAAGAATCCCTTTTTGAATCAAACAAAAGAAATATTCCCTAAATCTGATCCTCAAAAGATTTTTTTTTTTTTGTACTGGGGATTGAGCCAAGGGCTGTTTAACTCCTGGGCCACACCCCAGCACCCCACCCCTTTTTTTCTGAGACAGGCCCTTGCTAAGTTGTTTAGGGACTCACTAAGTTGCTAGGGCTGGCTTTGAACTTCAAGAGCCTCCTGCCTTATCCTCCCAAACCACTGGCAAAATATTTTTTATAATATTATAATTTACCTCTAAAGGTGTCATATAGGCTTCTAACTAATAAAATATAACAGAAACAATTTTTAAATAAACCCCCTCCTTTTTTAATGGTGCTATAGATCAAACCCCAGGGGCCTTGCATATACTAGGCAAGTGCTCTACCACTGAACTACATCTGCAGCCCAAACTCTGTTTTTATATATCCCACAGTCACATTAGTGCTTTAGTTATTACCTTTATCTCAGTTAATCTCTATAACAATTCATTCGTCAAAAAAAGTAAGAAACAATTGAAAAGAGTTAATAAGTACTTGGTGGACTTTTTAGCATTTGAACATAGAAAAAAATAAACTTTCAGGGCTAAACACATTCTCTAGTTTTTATATTCTTCTAGGAGGTAGGGCAAAATATAAACAAAAATCAATTAAACTGACACAAATTACAATTTACCTAGGTAAGATTAAATCTGGTCCTGGGAAAAGATAAACTAATGTTCTCTAGATTTTACAATAAGAAATCATCAAGTATTTTATACATTAAAAACTAATAAAGCATGTGATCAGTAAAATATAATGAATTCATTCAATAAATATTTACTAAACTCAGGCTATATAAACTAGGCAATTCATATGTAACAATAAAACAATGCCTTTGGGACTTCCACTTCAGATAGAGTAGATATACTTTTCCTTACTTCTCCTGCTAAGCTCAACTGAAAACTCTGGAATTCTTCTAGAATCGAAGAAGGAGGCAACCAGAAATATGACCCAACCACAGAAGAGTCCCCAACTTAATGGTTTGACTTCCAATATTTCCCCTTTGTAGTGATGTGAATGTGCTATACATTCAGTAGAAATCATACTTCAACAATACTATCCTAACTACACTAACTAACTCACAGCTCCCAGTCAGCCATCAGATCATGAGGGTAAAAAAAAATGAAGACACTACAGAATACTTTGTTGCTAAGTTACAATGTTCAGTAGGTTAGGTATATTAAATATTGTTCCACTTACAATATTTTCAACTTATAATCAGTTTATTAGGACATGATCCCACGATAAACTGAAGAGCACTTGTATATACTACCATTAAGGTAGGCTGAAAGTAAAACAATAGGAAAAAATTCATCATGCAAAGATTAACAAAAAGTTATGTTAGTAGTTGTATTAGTATTTGATAAGATAAACAAAGAAAATTATCAGAGACAGACATACAACAATAAAGGGTTAATTCACCGAGACCCAGCAATTATAAATGTGTAGGGCTCAAACAACACAGCTGCAAAATATATTTAGCAAGATGTGAGAGAACTGAAAAAGAAAGAGACAAATCAACAAGCTGAAGACAACAATATCCTTCACTCAACTTTTTTTTAATTGTCAATAAACCTTTATTTTGTTTATTAATTTATTTATTATGTGGTGCTGAGAATCAAACCCAGAGCCTCACACATGCTTTTTAAATTTGAATGAAGCCCAATGAGCCACAACCCTTGCCCTTCACTCAACTTTTGATGGAACAACTAGGCAGAAAAATCAGCAATAACAGAAAAACATAAATCAAACATTAGAAGTGAGGTGAATTTTTTTAGAACACCCCAAAGATAGCAAAATATACATTCTTCTCAAGTACCCACATTACATATAACACTGATAGACCATCTTCTAGACCATAAATCTCAAAAACTTTTAAAAATTGAAATCATTCGCAGTATTCTCTTTGATTAAAACAGAATCAAGCTAGATACCAACAAATGAAAGAAAAAAGGAAAATCTCTAAACACTTGGAAACCAAAAACACACCTGAAAATAATCCATGGATAGAAGAGGAAGTCTCAAGGGAAATTAAAAACCAAATACACAGAATAGAATGGAAATAAAAATGTACATATCAAATTTTGTGAGAGACAGCTAAAGAAGTGCTGAGAGAAAAAAAATATAGTCAAAGGTTCACATTATCAAAGAGGAAAAATCCCAAATCAATATCTTAGCTTCTACTTCTTCAAGAACCTAGATAAAGAACAAAGTAAACCCCAAGCAACCTGAAGGGAAAAAAATAAAAAGCAGAAATTAACAAAATTAAAAACAAAAATAATACAGAAAACAATCAATAAAACAAGAAGCCGATTCTTTGAAAACATATGTAAAACTCACAAAAAACTCTGGTACAAAGCTGGGCATGTTGATGCATGCGTATAATGCCAGCAACTTGAGAGGCTGAGGCAGCCTCTCAATTCAATGCCAGCCTCAGCAATTTATTGAGGTCCTGTCTCAAAATAACAAAGTAAAACAGGCTGAGGATGTAGGCTCAGTGGTTAAGCACCCCTGGGTTCAATCCCCAGTACAAAAAAAAAAAAAAAAACATTTGGTACAAATGGCAAAAAAGAAAAATACATAAATTACCAATATTGGGAATGAAGCAGGATAGACACTATAAAATTGAAGATCTAAATATATAGTAAGAGGTCTTTCTCTGCTTGAAGAAAGCTCTTTCTCTCTCTTGAGAATGCTCTTTGTTTAAGCCTTACAATTTTTTTCCAATAGCAAAGCTTTCTTGCATGGCAAAACCAAAACCAAAACACACAATAAGAGAATACTACCAACAATAGCTCTACACACGTAAATTTCACATCTTTGATAAATCAGACCAATTTGTCAAGAAGTGCAAACTAACACTGCCACATTAAATAGATAATTAAATAGCTCTTTCATAATTAAGGAAATTGAATCTGTGTTTTGTTTTATGTTTGTAGTACTGGGGATTGAACCCAGAGGCACTCTCTATTCCCAACCCTTTTTATTCAGAGACAGGGTCTTGCTCAATTGCCCAGGCTGGAACTTGTGATTCTCCTGCTTCAGCCTACTGAGTTCCTGGAACTACAGGTGTATGCCACTGCACTCAGACTTATTTGTAATTTTATAATTCCCAAAAAAGAAATCTCTAGATGATTTCACTAAAGAATTCCACCGAACATTTAAAGAAGAATTAATACCAATTCTAAATAATCTCTTCCAGAAAATAAAAGCAGAGGGGATATTCCCAATTCATATTAACCTGATGCTAAAACCAGATAACAGAAAGTACAAAAAAATACAAAATAAGATCCTTCATAAATATAGATACAAAATTTTAACAAAATATTAACAAGTAAGATTCAATAATATACACAAAGGATTGTATTGTACACCATGAACAACTGGAGTTTTATTCCAAGGATGCAAGCCTGTTTGATATTCCAACACCAAGCAATGTAATCTACTATATGAAATGGGTAAAGAAGAAAAACCACATGATCTTATAAATAGATGAGAAAAAATACTTGATAATGTCTTACATATGATAAAAACTTAGAAAACAGAATGAAAGAGTACTTTCTCAACTTAATAAAGAGCATCTACAAAAACTCTATGACTAATATTATGCTTAATGATTAAAGACTGAATGTGTTCCCTCTAAGAGAAGAACACAGGACCACACCACATTACAGAATAAAAAGGGTGGAGAGAGTTTGCCACTCTTGATCATTGTAGTGATGAAACACAAAATGAGGCAATAAAGGAAATAAAAAGCATACAAGCTGAGAACAAAGAAATAAAAACTGCCACCATCTGCAGATGACATTGTCTACCTGGAAACAAATCAAGCACAATCAAAGGGTATAAGATAAATACACAAAGTTCAACTGCATTTCGTTTTTTTTCCTTTTTTTTTTTTTGTGAGACAGTGTCTTGCAATATGCTGAGACAGGTCTTGAATGTGTAATCTTCCAGAGTCACTGGAGTTATAGGCACACACACGGCTACAATTGAATTTCTATACACTAGTCATGAATACAAATACACTGCAATTAAAACTATAACATTTACAATCACTCAAAGAAATCAAACACTCAAGTGTAAATCTAACAAAACATGTAAAGAGCCTATAATGAAAACTACACAATATTGATAAAAGAAATTAAAGATATCTAAATTGACGATAGACTATTGCTGTGGATTGGAGGGCTCAGTGTGGTAAAGAAGTCAATTCTCAACTTTATGTGGAGATTTACCATAATTCCTACCAAAATCTCAGCAAGATATTTGGAAGGGCAATATTGTTCTAAAATCTATATGGAAAGGCAAAGGAACTGAAGCAATAAAAGCAATTTTGAAAAAGAGTAATAAACTGAGAACAACCAGTCTACCTGATTTCAAGATTATTATATAGGTACAAATAATCAAGACTGTTCGGCATTCTGAAGGAATAGACACAATGATCAATAGAAGACAGTAGAGAACCAGAAACAGATCCACACAGGTGTTCAACTGAATTTTTTTTAAATTTTTTTTTTAGTTTTCAATAGACCTTTATTTTATTTATATGTGGTGCTGAGAATCAAACCCAGTGCCCCACATGTTAGGCAAGCACTCTACCACTGAGACACAACCCTAGCCCCTGTTCAACTGAATTTTGACAAAAGTTGAAAGAAAATAATTTAAGGGAGCACAGTGTGTCTTGGTCCTAAAGCAAATAGACATCCATCAAACCAAATAGAACCAAATGAAACATAACTTGATAATGTTTCATACCTTACATAAAAATCAACTCAAATGGATCATAAATTCAAATGTAAAATTTAAGACTTTAAAAATAAATATAAAATATTTGGGATCTAAAACTAAGCAAAAAAATTCTTAGACTTAATACTAAAAAGAATAATCCATAAAAGATCTACTGGGCTTCATTCAAATTTTAAAAGTTTTGCTCTATGAAAAACTGTTAAGAGGACAAAGAGAAGAAAGGATGATTGGGAGAAAATATATGAAAACTACATATCTGTCGAAGGACAGTTACCTTGACTCAGTAATCAAAACTCTCTTGACAAAGAAAAGTTCTAGACCTGCTGGCTTTAACATCAATCCAAAAAAAAAAAAATCAAAGAGGAGGGAATGTGGGCTGGGGATGTGGCTCAGGCAGTAGCGTGCTCGCCTGGCATGCTTGCAGCCCGGGTTCGATCCTCAGCACCACATACAAACAAAGATGTTGTATCCACCGAAAACAAAAATAATAAATAAATAAATATTAAAAATAAAAAGAGGAGGGAATGCTTCCTAACTCATTCTGTAGTTCAAAGCCTAACAAAAACACCATAAGAAAACTACATACCAAAATCCTTTGTGAATACTGATACAAAAATCATGAAAAAAACACTACAGCAAAGCATATTCAGCAGCACTTAAAAAGGATTGTACACCTAGTCGTGTGCAAGTTACCCCTCAAATGCAAAGATGGCTCAATATATAAAAACTCATCAATGTGATATAGTACATTACAGAATAAAAGTGGGGATCAAATATTTCAATTAATGCAGAAGTGTTTGACAGAATTCAAAAACCTTTCATAATAAAAAAAGTCAATAAAGTAGTAGAAATAAAAGGAAACTACTTTAACAAAATTAATGCCATATGTGAAAAACAAACATTACAATAAATGATGAAAACTGAAAATAAATTAAAACACACATATACACAAAGCCCTGCTTCTCAGGTTATCTCATAGTGTAGTAGGATGTAAACAATAAATAAGTATACATAATGCCAGGTAGCAATAAATAATATTAAGGAGAATAAAACAGTCAATAAAGACTGATAGAGTAGAATGGGAGTTAATACATTGGAAAGAACTTACAGGGTGAATTCAGTAAAACACTATCCTGAAAGTGACATTAATATAGTCAACAATCAATTTCATGTTAGAAGAAAAGATTTCAAAAGCAGAAATAAAGAATCCACAAATATTCTGTATAGCTTTCTCTCCCAATCTAAATTTTGCACCACACAAATCCTTTAAGGAATTCATTTATAGTATAACTCTATCTTTTCTCAGACATTTTTAGTAGTTCTCTACTCTTTATTTCAGCAAAACATTCAAGGTCTCCCAACACCACTGCCATCACCTTTTGATGGTCAAGGAGACTGAAGCACAAGAGACATGCATAACTTACCTGACTACTTCACCAGCTTTACTTATGTCACTTTACTTATGCCACTGCCATATTAATCATCACATTCTGCCTTGTGTTCAAATTATTTTCACACACACATATATTTTCACATATATAAACAAAGTCTGCTGATGACTTTCCAGACTATTATGCAAGTTAACATTAAATAAATTCTCCTCTTAAAAGATTTTGGAGGTAATGGCAGGCACTTCGGTATTTCAAGTAGGGGGAACAACTAACCTTGAATTTCTCCCTGAGGATCTTTGTAATACCACTTCTGCATTGCTTCATGCATCAATGGAATTGACACTCCTTTAGCTCTGTGCTCCTGCAGTTTTGATGCTAGTCTCTCATCATCTAGTGCACTGTCCTGGAGATAAGCCACCATCTTCTCAGCTTGCTAATAAAAAATAAGAAAAACAAAAAGAGACCAAGGAAACAAATGATTCTAAATCAATACTTACACATGTTATAATGCCCATCTTTTATTGGTCTACTTGATCTGTGAAAGACACTGAAAGGAACAAAGCAGGCAGCAATTTTCCCAAAAATGCCATAAAAATAGGTACTGTCCCCATTTTACAGAGAGAGAAACTAAGACTCAAAGATGTCAAGTCTTGCTCAAGGTTTCAAACTGGTAAAGATCAAAATCCAGGTTCCTAATCAATACACTAATAAAGTTTTTCTTTTTCTCTCACAATCTATCTTATACACCATACAAATCTTTCAAGGATTTAGTAGCTGCTGGTTAATTCTAAATTGCATAAACTAAAAACAGGATTTTATTAGAACAAAAGGCTCAATTTCTACAATTACAAATAAAATTTTAACAGGTTTGTTAAGGCCCACACTCCCTTCTTTTAGCATTTCCTGTCTCTAACAATCCCAGTCTGAAGGAAAGAGAAATTATTTTGTTCAAAAGCAATATATTAATGGTATATGCAATCTTTGGGAAATCAAGAGACAGGAATATGATGCTAACATCCTGAGACTTAACTAACATCCCTGTTATACTTGAGGCAAAAAACAGACAACATGGTGCCCATCCACAGCTGCCTTTATTCGCCATTTCTGGCATTTGATTAATGTCCAAAAAAGACAAAAGAAAAGTAAACAGCTAAGGGCAAACTCAGAAGAGCAAAAAATAATCTGACATAATGACTACTACATAGCAGAAACTTAAAACCATGAAATGATTTGAAAGACAATTACTCATACAAATAAATACAAAGTAACCAACAACTTTTCCATTCCACTTAAAATTTAGTGCACAAAAGTTCTATATTTGAATATTCATTTAAGGGTTTCTAATTTTTATGGCAGCTTGAAAGGAGATGAGAAAGAATAACATGATTTTTACCTGCTCCAAGTGTTTGAGACCCTCTTCATCATCTGGCTCTGTGGAAACACCACCCATACCAGGAGCACCAACAACTGGCATCTCCACTGGCCTCGAGGCAGGACTGGGAGCAGTAACAGGAGGTGGAAGTATGAGAAGAGGAGAGGCTGGGTCTGGAGGGAGCTGTGTCAGGGGCTGCTGGATGTCAGGAACCATTTCTGCAGGAAGAATTTAGACTAGTAAAAATCTGTAGAAATACAGACTCTTATTAGGTTAACTCAACATCATTAACTTGGGCAGCCTGCTGAATGGGTCCAACAGGAATGTGACCCCTGTCATGAACACTGAAGCTACTTCCTGTGGAAAAAGTATGTCCCTAGAATGACAGTATTATTTCTACAGGATGACAGAAGATAAGTGTTAAGAGGTCCCTAAAAGATCTTTCTACAGTGTCTACTTGTGTCACTTGCACATATATCCAACAGCTACAGCTGGACCTCATGGCAACTGTCTAATCCCTTCTTTATGTACCCAAGTAGTAAAGACAATTATCAAACCACCAGAATTTTCTCAAAAATGTGTCAAACCTCATCTAATCCTCCACTGAAAATATCAGCAATCATTTTTAAGTGCTTATTATCAAGTCATAATTCAATACATTACATGTTTTATTTAGGAGTGTATGTGAATAGTTCAGGATATTCTTTTCAATAAAGAGTAAAAATATAAAAGCAATTCTGTCTTGGCTACTAGTTCTATCTCTCAGCATGCAGGCTCTTAAGAAGGAAGAGGAAAGTTGGGGAGTGTAGCTCAGTGGTTGAGCGCTTACCTCGCAAGTGTTAGGCCTGGAGTTCGATCCCCAGAAAACAAACACAAACACAAACACACACACACACGCACAAAGGTAGGTTAAAGGGGTGGGGGTGCATGGAAATAATCAAATACAATTTTAGTTTCTCCTTTGAAACCTGTTTCTTCAATTACAGAGGCCTTCTGCAACCAAATTCCTAATCTCCTTATTCTGCTGAAGTTTTTTAAAGGATAGTCCATATATGCTGTCTCCTCTTTACCACTACCCACCCTTAGACTTCTATGCTCTCTCACCTCAGAAAAGCTCTTCTCTGAAAGCCAAGCACTTGCTGCTAATTTAATGACTCTTCCTCATCTTCATCATCCACTCTTGGGGGAGGGAGATGGGGGATTGAACCCAAGGACACTTTCTGGCATCTCTAACTTTTTTTTTTATTAACACTTCAGAACTAATGTCCCAAACTGAATCTATTTTTTCCTTTCTCAAATGTGCCCAACTTTCACTCTTTTCCTGTGAAATGCACCATAATCTTCTCAAGCACCTCAGTCATCTTTGCTCTCTTCTCTGCCCTGACAGTCAGTCAGTGACTAAGTCCTGTCAATTTTGGTTCTTAAATCTCACCTGCAACCACTCTTTTACAGGTGCACTATCTACCTCATTGTGATTGCCTAAGAGCCTCAACTGTCAGAGTACAACCCATCTGTCTTTTCATAGGATACTCCATACATAGTTGCCAAATCTAAGTTCCAATGATGTTCTTTACCAATCTCCTTTTCTCTCACACCTCCTACCATATTCAAAAAAAAAAAAAAAGAGGCAGATTCTTACCACTGCCTCAGTCAGTCCTACTTCCTCACTTTATCTCACTGCTTCCTTGTACTAGAATGCCCTCTCCCAACTTACCCAGTCACACCTACACCTCCAAATTCTACTTATCATTCCAAGATGAGTTCAAAAACGAACTGCCTCCTGATGCATGCCAGGAGTCTGACAATAGTGAACTTCTACTGTTATTTTTTGTTCTGGGTTGTTGGTTAGCATGATTGAATTCGCTATAAACTACAAATCTGGAATATTAACTTTTAATGCACATCTATGAAGATCTCTCAGAATATGCATGTATGCTCTCGATGCTAACATCTAGAGTAAGACCTTCAGGGTATGTCCTTTTAAGAAAGCACACTGCAAATAATTCTAGGGTATATCATAACTGAAAAACAAATACTTTGATTCAAACAGGTCTCAAGCAGCATTAAGTTCCACAGTTTCTGACACATAGACATCAAATATTTGTTGAATCGGTTCGTTCATTCATTCATTCATTCATTCATTCATTCAGCTTTATACTCTACATTAAAAAACTGAAAAGAAATTATTGGTTCAAATAAATTCTCAAAGTATTAAGTCTACTGAGAAAAAAATAGATCGTTAAAATTGTGTGTGCCCACGTGCGCGCGCACACATGTTAGAAACAGTCCCAGTTGTTTTTTAAGAAACAAGAGAAATGATGACACTTTAGCCTGGGGACTTGGCAGGAAGAAAGTTTCAGACACAGTATGAACATGAAAACAGGGTATAAATCAGGACCTTTCAGGGTGGTGAGTCGTGTGAAGGGGATGGAGAATAGCACAAAAGCAGCATGCTTTGAGGTAGATGCTGTATCAGGTGAACTTTCCCAGGCTATATGAAAGGCTGTGAGTTTTGCTGAAGAATGAATCAAACAACCCTTTAACATCAAGCATCACAATGTTGTTTTTAAAATGTGTGTTAAGAATAATCATGGAAATAAACAATAATAATTGCCTAAAAATGGCAATGAGCAGTTCAAACCAATACAGGAACACTGGAGAATATAAGGAAAAAGCATATATTCTAGCAAAGATGATAGGACCCCCAGAATCACCCATGCACTCTTTTTGGCTTCTTTGGAACAATGGTGTTTTGGTGTAAAGTTGTGCACAAATACCATTACAAGAAGTCAAGGTTAATTGTATGATATGGGAATTGAACTAATGCAGAGAATTCCAAACCCAACTTGCAAATGATGCAAGGACAGCTATGTGATAACATTCACAACGTGAAATCTCTGAGCTCCAACTTCACAGATTTTATTTTGGTGAATTCTGATATGAATACTTATGTGGGGAACTTTGTTTAATTGCATTTACTGATTTAAAAACAAAACTATTCTAATAATTCACCCACCACAAGGAATTCTAGGAGACATAAGTCAAAGCCTGTCAAATCAGTGATCACTGGCCTCAACAGAATCCTAGTTTGTCTACTCTCACAAATACATACCATCCCCTCTGCTGGGCACCTTGGCTGGCAGACTGTTTTCCGTCCGAATCTCCTCTTCAGCTTTTTCCATTTGCTCAGTTTTAGACTCATCTTTCCTCTCAAACTGTGATGCTGCTTCCTGAGGTTGATGTTCTGAAGGAGTACCTGGTCGAGCAGATGATGGCGAAGTTTGGGGTATTTCCTCACTAGCTTCTGGAACATAAAGGAATTTTAAATGAATTTAGGAAATTTTTGGTTTGATGGATAAAAAAAAGGTGAAACACAAAAATAAGCCTTACCAACTCCTACTCTATCTACTTTCTCTCCCTCTTTCTTATTGGTCTTATCAGGTTCTTTGGCCTCTTCATTATGGCTACCCTCAGAGTCAGAACACTCCTCCCCTTCCTCCACAGGTCGGAAGTCCATCTCCTGCTCTTCAGGAATAGGCTCTTTCTGTACTTTCTGTAGTAAGAAAATAAAACCAAAGGTCAACAGCATATTTGGCTTTGGTGTAAGGTCAAGGTCTGCCATCATTTAAAACAAATTTCTTACTTTTAAAGAGAGGAATGCTCCAGATGAGTCAAACGTGCCCATTTCTTCTTCAGCATCTTCTAAGCACCATTCAGGCAAACTATCCCTGTCATCATCTATGCTCCCACTGCCAGAGCGCACTCTTCGATAACCTCGTTCATCATCCCGATCTCGAAAATCAAACTCAAACCTCCGACGGCGTTCCATGTGTTCCCGCCAGCCTGCAGAACGAGGGCCATCTGAGATGAGGAGGAGGACACAAACCTTAGAAAAGTTTTATGACAGTATTTGAAAAAGAAAATCATGGCCAGGGAATAAAGGAGAAAACTACAATTGACAGCAAATCCAAAGGGATCAGTCTAAAGAGAAAATTTAGCAAACTGATGTTCAGAGTTCCAAGTAGATATATGGCATCACTAAGTGACAACAGCACTGACCTTCATTAAATACTGAGCCACAGCTGGGTGCAGTAGCACACACCTGTAATCCTAGCAGCTTGGGAGGCTAAGATAGAAGAATTGTGAGTTCAAAGCCAGCCTCAGCAACTGCAAGGCACTGAGCAATTCACTGGAACCCTGTCTCATTTAAACTACAAAATAGTGCTGGGGATATAGCTCAGTGATTGAGTACCCCTGAGTTCAACCCTTGGTGCCAAAAAAAAAAAAAAAAAAAAAAAACTGAGCCATGTAACATACACTAAAAGCTTAGAATATACATTTCAAACAGCACATTTAAAAGACACTTTATTCAAAAGTAAGCACTTTTTTCAGGTGTGGTGGCACATGCCCATAATCCCAGTAGCTTGGGAGGCTGAGACAAGAGGATCTCAAGTTGAAAGCTGGCCTCAGCAATAGCAAGGCACTAAGCAACTTGGCAAGACCCTGTCTTTAAATAAAATACAAAAAAAGGCTGGGGATATGGCTCAGTGGTGGAGTGCCCCCACCCCCACCCCAGAGATCAATCCCTGATACCTGTCCCTTTGGAAAAGAAAAAAAAAAGGAAGGACTTTTTTAAAGCATTTTTTCTTCCTTGAAAATATCACTCTTTAAGCATAAGAGTTCTCTGTATTAATTCACATCACATTCACCATGCCTACTTATTAATGCCACTTCTAATTTTGATTCCCAACAAAAAGTCATGGAATTACAGTATTGCCCAATAATGTTAGAGATCTTATGTGGTCCACTATCCTAACTACACAGGTTAAAAAGAAATTAAAATTCTGACAAGTAATGGGCTAAATAGCAAACAGAAGGAGAAACCAACTCTGTATCCTCTGCTGCTGTTTTCACAATAGCACATTAACTCGTTTCCCCTTTTCTCATCTCTTAATTCTCCCTAGAGAGTTTTTAATTTCTGTGTAACACCCCCAGGCGCATTCCTAAATCCACCCTAGCACACTATTTATTGCATCTATTTTCCAACAGAAAAATAATGCCTAAGAATAAAAGATCCAACTTAAGGTTTTTTGAGTTTTTTTTTCCCTAAAAAAAAAAAGCAAATTCTTGTTCAAAATCTGTCAAACCTAAATCTGAAAGAGTATTTTTTTTAAAAAAGCAGGCTTTAACTCATAAGAATTTTCTATTATTGATTGTTTACTCTGTGGAAGATACACTAAAGAAAAGAGGCCAAAGTGAAATGTTACTATTGAAGCCCAAATTGCTAGAGCTAACAATATAAAAATCAAATAGAAAAAAAAAAAGGTAAAATGTTAAGATTCCTAATACAGGTAGCATCTTATAAAACACTCTCCAAAAGGTATTTCCATATACCCTAATTATAAAAACAAAATACTCCTTCCATGACAGCAAAGGAATTTTATGCCTAGATTGCTTAAAATGTAAATATGGAGCCATTACTCAAAAGGAGTCTTCATGATCAAATGTTGAATTCCAGAGTCCTTTGTCTACTACTATGGTTTCTAAACAGTCTTAAGTATGCACCATGATAGGAATCTATCCTTCCAGGCACCTGGCTCATGTTTCCCTCTTACTAAGTTTCCTAGGTTCTGCTGGCTGAGTGGATGCTTCACTGACTCCCACACTCCCAACTCTACCCACATCCAGCTTCGAGTTCTACTGTCATAAAACTAAACCCCAGAGAGGCACAGTGGTGCAAGCCTATAATCTCAGTGATGAAGAAGGCTGAGGCAGGAAGACTACAAGTTCAACTCTAGCTTCAGCAACTTAGTGAGACCCTGTCTCAAAATTTAAAAAGTAAAATAATAATAATTTTTCAAAAACCTACAGCTCATAATTTTGTTATCAATAATTCATAAAAATTTACTAATGAAACTAAATATAACAACTAAGACTTAATAAGGTTGACCACTGCTTTATAGGCATGTGAGCTAACCTTAAACACTATTTTCACAAAACCATTCAAAATGATATTTTAAGTTTTACTCAAATTTTAAAAGATTTACTAAAATCTAAGAAGTGTTAAGAGTTAACCTATAATCGCTGCTATAATCAGACGGAGTATTCTATATCCTAAGCAAAAAAAAAAAAAAAAAAGGCCTTCTTTAAAAAAAAAAAAAAGAATAAAAATAATTTTTTCAACCTTTTTTTTTTTTTAAACTGACAGTGGACCTTTATTTTTTTTATATGCAGTGCTGAGGATCAAACCCAGTGCCTCACACATGGCAGGAGAGCTCTCTATCACTGAGCCACAACCCCAGCCCCCAGACCTCTATCTTTATACTCTCCACACACAAATATCTTGGAGGAAAAATATATATATTTATATGGGGAGCCAGGCATGATGGCATAAGCCTATAATCCCAGTGACTTAGGAGACTGAGGCACGAATATTACAAGTTTGAGGCTAGCCTCAGCAACTTAGCAAAACCCAAAATATAAAAGAGATGGGATGTACCTCTTGGTAGAGCTCCTCTAGGTTCAATCCCCAGTGTGTGTGTGTGTGTGTGTGTGTGTGTGTGTGTGTGTGTGTACACATATACATATATATATATATGTGATGTAATATATAAGAGGGAAGGTGTATAAAGATTTTGGGAAGATTGTGATGTCAATGAGTAAAATGTTATGAAAGTTAAATTATGAAAAACAAAAAAAAACATTTAGAAAAGATAAGAAAAAACATATACTCAAGTTCTAAGTTGGGGAAGGGGTCAACAGTAGAAAATAACACTAAAATTTTACTTGTTCAATTCCCTTAAATAGAATCAACATCTGACATTTGGGCTCAGAAACACTGTTTATCTTCCAAAACATTCACCTTATTTGTTTTTGACCAGCTGGAATTTCTCTTCTTGCTCAGCCCAGATCCTATCCATTCTTCACTGAATGCTTATTGGGAACATAGTCTACAAACCTGTTAACCAGCAAGCTCAGCATAAAATGCCACAATGTCTTGAAAAAGAACTATACCGTTTGATTGTCCAAGAATAGACTGATGAGAACTGCCTAGATCCTGTGACGTAAACAATGCCCACTAATGACAGAAAGCTTGCCCAAGAGGCAGCCATAAGGAGTTGGCACAAACGCATCATGACTCTATCCAAAGACTAACCTTCCTATGTTTCTACCTACCTACAACCCCATAAAATATTCCAAGTGCCTGTTATGTTTACTCAGACCTAGGCTAGTGGTTTTACTAATGAACTGATTTTTTTTAAATAAAAAAAGTTTACATTTTTTAAATTTCCTCTATTGTAGGTAAGCATCTTGGGCATATGGTTGATAAATCATTATTATAAACATGAAATTCATAGAGCATGTACACATTCTTTGTTTGTTTGATTTCTGGATGACCCCATAATTCAAGCAACAGTTGCATTTGATTATCATGAGGCATGGAATCAGCACTTTGGTAGGGAATGAACTTTAACACAAAGCACCAGTGTCTTCAATTACCAGCATATCTAATGTCCAAGAAGAACAGTTTGAAGCATTCTTAAAGAGTCCACAAGAAGAACTTAAAAAGCTACTTATCACTACTATTCTCTCTCCTTTTTCTAAAGCTAGAAGGACAAAAGAATTAACTTGTGACTATGTCTCTGACCTGGGTTTTAGATTTGTTCTTCAAATAAGTACAAATCACATTTCCAAAGGAAATAAAAATTGAAAGAATAAATCCTTTCTTATTCAGCAAAATTACCCACTTATGGGGAGGACACACATTCCAAGTGTATAATTATGCATTTGGAATAAAAATTTTTTATTTTCCATACACCCCCCCCATTTTAAGTTTTAAAGAATGCTAAAGATAGATTAATAAGAGTTAAAGAAAATTGAATGAAATTCTCTCACTTTTGTAGTTGCAGGCAGGTGTTTCCCATTAAACTATACCTTTTGTCCCAGGAAAATAAAGTGATTTCAGACAACGGAATAGATGAGGGAATTTTATGCTGAAATTTTTTAGCAGTAGTAAGACAGAGTATGATAGCATAAATGACCCCTCTTTTTTTTTTTCCATTTTTAAAAACCAGTTTATTTTTTCCACTTAATCGCTAACATTTTCATCAAGCTCTTACATTTCAGTTTCTTTGTGGTTTTACATAATAAAATTCTTACCAGGACTGTGAGGACGCCACCTCTCTCCATCCCTTCTGGGTCCAGCTAGTCGCCAACCTCCATCTTCATCTTCTCCATTTTGTTCCTCTCTAAAGATACGCCAATTTTCACTTTCTGATCGTATAAATTCATGCTTTCTCCCTACTGATGCTGGTCCACTTTCCTCAAAATTTGGTCTCCCTATAAGCAAAATAAAAAAAACACAGTAACTAAACATGAGCCCCTATCAGTATAGATTTTGAAAAACGTCTTGAGTCAAAGTTTCCCCAAGATGTGTCCATTTCAATGTTTGGAAGTATCAATAAAATAACTGTGAATATATGCATATATTTTAGTCACTTTTCTTAAAGCCAAATAATCAAATACTGGGCAATTATATTTTAAAAAGCATGCAATGAAATGAGAACCAATGTTCCCTCAGTCTTACTCCCCAGAAGTAACTGCCATCAATAGTTTCTTATAAAGCCTTTCAGAAACAGTCCATGGGTATGCTCAACTCCCTCATCCACACACAGAAATGAATGGGGGATGTTGTACATGTCATTGGTACCCTTGCTATTTTCACTTAAGTGTACCTTGCCCATCTTCCTTACCAGCATATATTTTTAACACAATGTTTTTTTATTACATGAGTTACTTTAATTTATATAAAACCAACCTGTACGGGTGATTGTGGCCTAAACAGGAAATTTGTGTATTTCAACCTCTTTTATCCCAAAACAGACTGCAAATTCAAAAGCAGAGACTGTGGGTTCTAATTTCCCATTTATTTGAGCATCTAGTGCAACACAGGCATACAACAAATTGCTTTTGGATGGAGTTCAAACTTGAGCCATGTTTAACTTAACTGCCCTGGAGTTACATTAATGGTAGGAAAGTGCCCGATATACCAAATCAACTGAATTGGTACTTTTTAGGACAAGATAATTCTAAATAATGCAAACAAAATCTTCAATCACTCCCCACCAAGTACCAACATCTGTATTTCATAGCATCATAAAATCTCACATTTAAGCAGCTGAAAAATCCAGAATGATACTCACTTATACATTCTCTGCCTATAACATTTTCTCAGTGACAAATTCTCTTTATTAAACCACACCAAAAGCAGGAAAAAAAAAGTTGAACAATGGCTTGTGATAATGAGGAAATTCTAACTTCTGATCATCATCTTATATTCCATTTTACAAATAATAAGATTCAGCAACCTGAAATTACCCATAGGGTTGTTAGGCTGTTACCAGGTATTGTTTTATGAAAGAATAAAAATACCATTAAGGATTAGAGGAGGCATTATCTCCTAGGAAAAATACTACCTGCTTTCTTATTGTGATCAGCAGCCTTTAAAAGTATTCCAACAATTCCTGTCTGCTGGTCTTCCCTTAAGTATAGGCTGACTTACTGTTTCCCTCTTAACAGAATACTGCTAAAGGGATGAAATGCCCACCGTTTATACTAAGTTTTTAAAGATTGTGGCTTCTGTCTTGGAGGCCCTTCTCTGAAGGATGCCAGATGTTATATGGTGTGGCAGCCCTGTGGGGAATTTCAAAGGGCAGAACTGAGGCTTTCCACCAGAAATGAATGTGAGTTTGTAAGGGGGGCAAATTCCAGAAGAGCACTGAGATGACTACAACCTTCTTAGAGATCTGAGCCAGAACCATCTAGCTAATAAGCCATACTATTCCTTGATAATAAACATTTGTTGTTCAGCCATTAAGTGTGGGGTATCTTTTAGAGTCATGGATAATAAAAACTCTTGATCTGATTTAATCTTTCTAACAATCCTCACTAATAGAAGCTAATTTTTTTCCCATTTTATAGCTTAGAATATTGCAGATCAAAAACACAACCTAGGAGAATTATTTAAAATCACACGCCCCTCTTAAATAGCAATTCCATTATTTGGAAAATGGAACATAAAGAAGAATATCAAATGTTAATCTTCAAATCATTCAATAAATATTTACAACACACCAAATACCAAATTTTGTGGATTTAGGTGCAGACACAGCCCACATTTGCCCCTAGGTCAGAAGATGTCCCAGGGTCTCTTACTTAGATTAAGAAGACAATCCATTTTGCAAAACATCACTTTTAGCATAAGACTTGATGAAAAGTGTATATACTTCCAAAAAAGAAGTTTAAAACAAAGAAATCCCTAATGTATATACACTGGAAAATAATGGGAAATGGCTTTTACAATAAAACCAGTAAGCCACAAATATTACATACCAGGCACTAAGCTGTGACTTGGACATAAATGCTTAGTCACACAATGGATGAGCTAGGTGAATGGCTCATCTTTATTATCTACTTTTATACCAAACCTCTGAAAAAATAACAACTGTACCAAAGTAAACAATATATCACTAATGGCAAAAAGCATTAACTCATCAAAAAACAGTTATCACCTTCATAATAAATATTGTTTTATTAAATAAAAAGTTATTCAAATACTAGTAATCCCATAATCTTAAAAAATAGAAATCTATCTGTAATTAGTTTTTATATAACTTTTTTGACTGAAAGACAGTCTCACCATGTTGTCCAGGCAGACCTCAAATTCCTGGGCTCAAGTGATCCTTTAGCAGCAACTATATCCGCATGACACTGCACCCAATATGACTTTTTTATTTTATGAAGTTGCAGTCTGTACACCTACTATTATGTAATCTATTTTCACCTGTAATAGCAACTAATTCCCTATGATTATAATTCTTCCTAATAATGCAAATAGGCACATATTACTTATAGCTTACTGTTGTAGCATAATGTACTATTCTATGTTTTAACCAACTTTTTTTGGCCAAGTATTGACAATGAGGGTAAAAAAAAATCTGTGGGCCTATGTGTTTTGCTTTCTTAAACTATTATTTATTAAAAAAAAAAAAAAAAAAGCTTTAAAAAGTGAAACTACTAGCTCCAATGACAGACAATGTATCAACACACCACACTCCATGAAGGGGAAAAAATAAAAGTCAAACCACCAGACTATTTGCATTATCAACTCTAAGTGCTGCTATCCTTTCAAAAATTCTGTTACCACAATAATTGTAAAATAATGGTACACTAATATGGCTCAAATCTGAATTGTCAATAAGGTTTTTCATGTTGTTTTCTATCTTAATTTCCCTTTATCTTAAATGTTATTTGAATATTTTTTCCTAACCTAAGAGTTTATCTTCGTAACTGTCAAGTTCTACAAGTACTTTTGATATTAATACCAAGAAAAAAGAAAAGTATAAAGGAAAGGAAAGGGTAAGTTAGAGAAACTCTAGGAAGAAAAATATCCGGCTTCTCTATTTGCCAAAAACTAGCTTGTGATACTCAAATTGTTGAAAACTTATACCTCATAATGTATGAATGACTATTTATGCCATTTCTTATTCCAAAAAGGATTTGATACAAAAATTTTGCACTTTATGAGGAGGAGCATAGCACCAAAAAAAAAAAAAATGATAATGATCTTGGAATCATTAGAACCTGTTTTAAATTCTAGCTCCAATTATGATCAATATCCTTTGACTACTGAAGACCCAGTTTTTCACTGGGGAAGATGGGATAATTTGAGGTAAAAGCAACCTGAATTAACATGAACTCTGGTCCAGTGTTCAAAAATCTGTATCAAAGAAGTTCAAATTTTGTTACTACATAATTGTTTCCACAAAATAATTTCTAAAAAAATACAACATACTTTTTCATATATCAAATATTCATAATATAGTAAAATTGATACATTTAAGTGATGAAAAACCAAAATAATACAAGAAAACCAAGAAAAACCAAAATAATACAGTTCTTATATTGCACATGTAAGAGCAGATAAGCAGAGTTCTGCCTTTAGGGGTCACAGTCATTTTCATAAGAAAAGGCTGGAAAGAATTCAAGAGCTTGGAAATGGACTTCACTCATCTCCTCCTGCTCCCCTTTAAGAAACCTTTTAATTTGAACACAACATTCTTACAAAAAAGCACACAAATAACTAATATGCAATTCAAATAAGTTTTCTGAAAGCAAATATATGCATATAACCACCACCTGAGATTTAAAAATAAGTGTGTGTGTGTGTGTCCATCCTCAGGAGCTCCTAACGTTCCAATCAGCCCTTCCCAAAACAGGCACTGTTCTGACTTCTATCCCCTTCTTTTTGCTCCTTTTGTACTTTTCATGTAAATGGACTATTTGTTTATATCTGGCTTTTTTAGCTGAACATCATGCAAGTCATTCAGATCATTACAAAAGAGTTTATTCTCTTGCTCATTTAAGTTGTTTTTAGCTTTTTGTTATTACGAATTGTGCTTCTATGAACTTTCTTAGCTTCCAGTTTTGGTGAAATATGCTTGCATTTCTGTTGGATATATAATACATCTAGATATGAAACTACTGGATCATAGAATGTTCAACTTCTGTAAATACTACAGAATATTTTCCCAAGAAAATGGTACTACTTTGCCATTTGATTGATGGTTTTACTCAAACCTCTAGCAAACATGAACAAGACTGCCTCCTCTGTGAACAAATACAATTAGACACATAGGATTAAAAACAAAGAAAGACTTAAGACACAACACCTGCCCTCTAGACTCGTATGTCATACGAGTAAACAAATGACCTGATACATTACAGTTGACACAACACACTGCCAGATCTTGTTGATCTTCATAATAAACCCAAGACATTAAGTCAACCACCACCACCTCTATTGTTGCTGTGAGGAAAGGAATACCTGCTGAACGGTGATTCCCAAGATCATACAGCTAGCCAAAATGCAATCAGAAACAGAATCTAGGTGTTCAATCTCATAATTTAGGGTTCATTTCTACTACATTATTCTTAGTCACAAATTAGGCACACTGGCAATAGCCAGAAGCTCTTAAAAATATCTGAAACAAGAGGAAGAAGATCTAAGTCTTAAGCTCTGAAAGGGTAGTAGACATGCTATGTGTTCTATAACTTGTTGACATCTCTAAAAGGGAGAAAGTGGAACTAAGTTTGTTTCAATCTTCATGCAGAAATGATTTCAAAATGTCTATCTCAGGAAAAAAAAAAGGTAAGACCAACAAATTTTAAACATAGAAATTTTATGGTGGCTTCATACACCAACCATAAAATACATATTTCCAATTACTATTGGTACTGTCTAAAAATCATCATAGTATGACACACTGCTCTATAATATG